AATTAAAAAACGTGGGTAACAATAAAAATAAAAGACATTAATTACCAAAAAGGGAAATAAAAAGGATTAAGCTTATCATACAATTCAAATTATTAATGAGTTGGCTGTCCACCGTCAGTTACCAAGCATTTAGTCATATAAAATTGATGGCTCAAAGTAGAATTGGTATTAAAAGAAATCTATAAAAATTTAAATAATTTATTAAAACAACACATTAGACATATGAATGAATTAATTAATAAAGGAATGAATGAATAAGTGCACAAATTATATCCCCATTACTATATATCAAGAAAAAAGTTTTGTAATATATATATATATATCAGTCAAATATAGCTTTACTAAGAGTATTTTTTATGATTGTTCAGATTAGAAATGAAATGATATAGCGTTTACTGTCCTACTTTTCTGCTGATTAGATTCACTTAGTTAAGTTATAGATAATATTTTCAGTGAAGTATATTTTACAGTATTTTCAGAATATAACTGGGATAATAATAATAGTATATTTATATTGCGATGTATATATGCATGAGCATGAGCATGCTCAAAGTGCAAGGTATATTGAATCTACTTGAAATCTGATATTTTCAAAATTTTCTAACTGCGGTACTATGAACATGACTATTCTCTATATATATTCAATGTTATTTATGTATTGTGTGTTATGATGTTATCGTCCAGTGTCAAATGAATATATACCAGGGTATTGTCGTTAGTTTTCTTTCTATTTTATAATATTGGTTTATTTTAGACCGAGAGAGATTCAGTTCTTGGAATGAAAGGTTTTTTTTTTTTACGGAAACTATTGTCTGGCTGACGTCATACTAGTTTGAAATGAACGCTTTTTCTTTTTAAGTTCTGATTCCTTATTGATTGAAGAACTATATATTTCTAATTATATATACCACAATAGTTCCTGTCATTGTATCATTCTTATACAATTAATCCATCTTAGCGTGCGGTAATACTTTTAGTATGAAGCACCAGTCGTGTCACAATTTTTGAAAAAAATGCTGAATGTACTATGGTTTTTATGACATTTATATTAACACTACATTAAGGTCCAACAAGGAAGAGATGATTTTGCTTTGACTCCAATCAGACTTAAAAGAGAACATCTAACTGGTAGAGAAGTAGTAAGATCTTACATAGACTAACAATTCCAACTAAATAAAAATAAACTAAGTTTTATTGAATTGACTAACTGGAAGAAAAAATCCTTAAATTTTATTTCTGATAAGTGTGTTAACCAGACCAATATGCAATTTTAAGCTCTTAAAATTTAAGCCAGAAATACAAAAAAGCTATAGCGTTCAAATCAAACTAGTGTAATATCGCCAGTCTCGGTGTTTATAGACATTATAGATTTCTGAAAACTGAGACTCGCAATTGTAAAATCAAAATATTAGTTCAAATTTTCATGTACATTGTCAAAAATATCATCAGCGCTCTAAAAATTATCTAATAACATGGTTATATGCCAGGAATTTCTATACAGTGATGTGCAGATTGGCCGACGACCTGGGGCATCCTATCAAAGAGTGAAAATATAATCAAGTTTGTTGTACAAGCAGTCCTAATTAATATGAATCTGTTTTTACGTATATAAAATGTCTTCCTTTCTCACATTTCTGTGTACTACACCCTTTATTTGAGTCTCGGGGATATACAATAAGTGAGTTGGCCCTGGGCATCGCCAGACTTCTGTTTGTCACTGTTTGTATAGTCTATAATTATTGAAGCAATTATAACAAAAATAACTGACAGTTTGTTAGATATATTATTATAATTTTATATACATAATATTTATTCTATTATTTTTATTTTTTGAACTTTTTTATAATTCATTAGTGTGCCTAATTTTACACAATTCGGAGAACAATACCTTTTTAACAAACAATAATTTCAGTATTTTTTATTGTACAAATATAATATGATGTATATGAATGGATAGATATATTTGCTTGGGTACACCAAATCAAATCAGACAAATAGGTTAACTAAATGGGACAGTTGCTTGAGTTGCTTCCCATTGTTTTTTTAAGAGACCAACCTAGTGTATCCTGACAACACATTCCAACTTCAAAATTACGTCATTTCTCTTTCAATCTTGTTAAAATTACATATTAGAATTTGTTTTCTTTTGTTTTATATTTTACCGGGCTCAGTTGACAAGTTTCATCAATGTCTTATGTTCTAAGTTGTGTACTGTAAACAGCCAATGAAAACCCAGCTGATGTATTAACTCACCAAAGTCACAAACATAATGCCGCCGATGTCGGCCATCTGTAATGAGCTCCTTTTAATATATGTTAGATCTTATATTGTATAGAAAATCAAAACCATAAAAATTAAATGAAATAAAGATATATAATTTTAATAAGATTGAGTCATAATTGCAAATCAAGTATCATATAACTTTCTGGTTTGCTTGAAGAAATTATAAAGAGTCAGAAACATTTGAACACAGCAGTTCTTGCATTGGATACAACTGCTTGTATGTCTCTCATTCAATATAAATAAAGTATTTTATTTGGTGTACCTGGCTTAGCTATTATGTGAAAATTTGCATGATTATTCAAATTTTACTTTCATAATGATTAATTGTTATTGGAGAAATGTATTCAACGTTTTTGTGTTCCTAGAATTACAGCAATGATGTTTATATAAAGATATATAAGTATTTCTACTCTTGTCTGTTTTATCCCCCCCCCCCCACACCCCGACTGGTGTGTCCTCTGTTGTCCTGTTCAGCTTTAATTCTTTAATACAACAATTTATTGTACACATTTCATATGTGAACGTATTATGTTGTCGCCCCTGTCTGTCTGGTCACATTTTGTTGTGGACACTCTACAGGTCACAAATTTTATTCAGATATTGTTTCCTTTCTGAATTGGTGCATATCGGACTATAACCGCCTGGATTGTCTCCTGATTGTACGAAAAATCATGTTTTTAGTTTTAGCTTGTGGTTGAGTTCGATTTTCGTGAAGATCAGACTGAAACTTCCTGCTTCCCTTTATGCAAATAGAGTAAAAGCATGTAATACCAAGGTTGTGGCCCTCTAGAGGTCACCATTTTATCAGATTTTGATGAAACTTAAAATATAAGTTTATATCCCAAAGATTTTGGTTTTAACAGTCGATGTGAAGCATTAATTGGAATAAAGAAGGGTTTAAGCCTTTGATTTTCCCTATACTCCATCCATGTATTGAAAAATGTGGACAAATCTTGCATGGCATTGTTTAGCAGGAATATTTATTGGCAGACTATTGTTATGGATGGATCCTACTCCCTACATTCTCACAAACATAGAATATCTTTTCTTCCTCTAGTTCATCAGGATTTTTTGACGTGATTCCCCTTTATCAGTGGTGCCAGACAGAGGGTCTGGCAAGGAACAGCGTATAGTTGTTAGGATGGAATGAAATACCATAAAAGATCCCTTGGCAGTTGGATTTTAATATAAGAGTAGGCTGTAGCGCTGCTGTCCGGGTAAACTTTCCCTCATATGCCCATCTTCATTAGCCCAGTCGGAGCAGTAGAGACACCATTTCATTTCAATATATACAAGTACATTAATATCATGATCTGTTAAAAACATTTTATCACTAGTTTTAATTGCATAGTTTTGTTGGGTTGTTTTTCAAAAATACACACATTTATTTCATTAAAGAATAAATTGGCAATATTTAAAGTAATATTTACACTATATTTGCAAATCAAATCCACATACTATTATATATAAAATGTATACTGGTATTATATATAAAATGTATACTGGTATTATATATAAAATGTATACTGGTATTATATATAAAATGTATACTGGTATTATATATAAAATATTTACACTATATTTGCAAATCAAATCCACATACTATTATATATAAAATGTATACTGGTATTATATATAAAATGTATACTGGTATTATATATAAAATGTATACTGGTATTATATATAAAATGTACCGGTATACTGGTATTTACATGCTGAATGAGAGAGACAGGTTTCTCACACAGACACTTGTAAAATGGAAAATAACAATAAGCTGAGGCTAAATAGTATTCCTAATGTCTAAAGTACTATTAATGGACCAAGTAAGAAGAGATTTCTTTGGCCCTGAATTTCATTATCTCCCTTAAATGAATATGAACTTCATAAACCCAAGGCATTTACTCAGTCTCAGCTTAATGGTATCTTAAAAAGATGTATGGTTTCCCGTCTGTTCCCTTATCCTTATATCCGTATAAAAAAATATATTCCGTTTTTACGAGTGCCATTCATGTTTTTAGGAGGGGCAATAACTACATCTAAAATTGATGGGCAACTTCGAATTTCGCTACGAGACTAGTTGAAGTTCAACTTTGTGATATCTGCATCTGTACCATGGATGATGTGTCACCCGTATATGCCAGACATGTCCTTAGTAAGATATGGTAAATCATATTCAATATTCCAATGTATATTTACTTTACTGAAGGTAATAACTATTACTAATCTTGATTGTCATTGATAATAGGCAGGATTCATTAAATAAATAAGTGATCGATCCCTTTACGGTGTAATTCACCTACCTTAAATGATAACGATAAGAGGATACTTGTCGAAATGTCGTGCTTTTAGAATAAACCAGTGATTGTTTCCCATAAAAACTGTGATCTGTTAATACCTTAATTGATTAAATATTTAATCTGCCTGAATTGACTTTGTTAACCGACACGTTTTGTTCAAATTTTCAGGTCGAAAGTATCGAATTGTTTGTGATCATACACCATGAATATTTGGTTTTAAATGGATAATAAATGTAGTTGGTGGTACACATTGTAGCATTAACACTAGCCTGTCACAAGAGGATGCATATGGACATGTATAATGGCTAACGATTATGCATTACCCAAAATTAATTAATTAACAAAAATCTGTAAGAGTCTGAGCACACATTTATCTAGCATTCCAATCTGACCTTCAACAGTTATAACACTTGTTCCATATCTACTTTTCTTCTTCTGGACTAACTTCCTCTGGACTAACTCCCTCTGGGCTAACTTCTTCAATGGGCCTAGCCACAAGTCTAAATGTTATGCCTTCGCTTGCGGCCTCGTCTATTAATGCAAGAGTTTCAATTTTATTTTTTACTTTCTTTTTTAATTCATTTAGAAGTAATTTATGTTTAGCTTCCTGAAAAAATTGGAAAAACACTTGATATTATTTACATGATGAGTAGATGTACCGGTGTATTAAATTCACAATGCATCAAGATACATTATGGGAGATTACATAAAGAGCTGGTAGTTCTCACCATAATGGTTCAAACCTAGATAATGTAAAGGGAATTTGCTGAAAATTTCAGTCAAATTGATCCACCCTAAACCGAGTAATAGCGATGTAATTTTGGGCCTAGCCTCGATCACCATTACTAAAGTCGGTATGATAAAAAACATAGTCTCGATTATCCATTTTTTTGATCTAATCAGAAGCAGCAGACCGGGTTCTAATCCAGTAAATATCGCAGGCTAGCGATGTCGGTATGATAAAAAACATAGTCTCGATTATCCATTTTTTTGATCTAATCAGCAGCAGCAGACTGGGTTCTAATCCAGTAAAAATCGCAGGCTTGCGATGGCATCGAAAGTTGATTATGGTCTGGATAAGTTAATTAATGTCTAATTAATAATTTAGATAACATTTCAGGCCTAAACAAAGATCTGCAATTGGCAGATTTAGCTCTTACATAATGTATGTTTAAGTAATAGGAATCACTTGCAAACTACAACACTGTGAAAGATGAATCTTTAATAGAAATATTGGTCCAACAATAGTCCAATTCTGTTCAGTATATCCAAAGATATGTGGAATATGCTGGCCATCCAATAAGTCTATTGCCATTTTGTTGTCCATGAAAATTTAATTATAGGCCTGTTTTAAATCTGATTGAATCCAAGCCTGGACATTATCTAGTGTTGGTATTTTGTTCTTGTTTTCTTAAAGATATAAGATAAAGAGATGGCAGTTCTCGCTATAATAGTTAAAAACTAGATAGTGTAAAGGTAATTTGCTGAGAAAGAAGCAGGTGAAATTTTTGCATAGTCTCGGTCATCATTACTAAAATCATTAATATAAACAGCATAGTCTCGATTATCCACTTTTTTTGATTTAATTAGCAATGGCCGTTAGCGGCATATAGGAATCTAATCCAGCCAACATCGAAGGCTAGCCTTGACATCGAGAGTTTATTATGGTCTGGATAAGTTAATTAATGTCTAATTGATAATTTAGATAACATTTCAGGCCTAAAGAAAGACTTGTAATAAGCAGATTTTGCTCTTGCATAATGCATGTTTAACTAAATGTTAAATATTAATCTTAGTACACATAGCTTGGCTTAAGCTGTGTGAAACTTGATATTTAAGTGGCAAATACCAATGGTGCATTGTTTAAGTAGGAGAAGAAGTAGAACCAATTTTGTTTTGTTGTTCTGCAGTTCAAAGAGAAGTAAATATATTCTAATGACAAGAATATGATACCACTTTGATTTAGAATACTATACTACATATATTAAGAATATGGTACCACCTGTATTTGACTATGGTACCACTTACCCTAGGAATATAACAAAGCTTGCAAATTATATCAAGAATATGATACCACTTACATTTGTATATTATGAATATGATACCACTTAAATTAACAATACATTACCACTTGTATTAAGACTATGGTATCAAGTAAATTAACAATATGATACTACATGTACTTATAACAGTACCACTTGTATTAAACCAAGGTACTACCTAATAAGAATATAGTATCACTTATATTAATAATATGGTACCACTTACGGTACTGCTTACAACATTAAGAAATGAAGTTAGAAATGTAACCATGATCGACAAAAAACAATCTGGCAAATATCAATTGAAAATAATATATACCTCTGCAAGTCGGACTTTTCCTTTAATATTAAACTTTACCGGATGACCTTTTTTTAGACTTTCCACAGCATTGTCCAGTTTTCTATTTAGATCATGATCTTCTATTTTCCACAATATATCCACTACCTTCATTTCTTTTTCTTTAGAACCTTTTTTAATTTTTCTCAGTTTCATTCCTTCCTGGTACAGGTCTTTTCCACTCAAATATTGAAATGAAAGAACACCATCTGGGTTTCTGCCAATATCTAAAAGTTTCATGTTTTCCTTCTTTGCCTTCTTTTGGGCATCACTCAGTGTTAATTTACATATCAGTTTGTCAGAAGAATCAAAAAGCTGCACAGTTTCTAATGGATCGTGCTTCACTGGTTTTCTAAATTTATATTTGATATTTAAACTATTGCTTGCTGTGGTGTTAAATTGTTTGATGAAGGGATTTTCCAACGAATTTCTGACGTAAATATTTTGAGGTAATCTGAGTCGTATTGTGTTTAAATATGGCTTCGATAAACTCACTTCCTGTAATTGTCTCAAGCTGGATATGAAAAGACTTAAAACACTGCAAAAAAAAAAAAGATAATAAATATCAGGCTTGAATATACAAATGTAAAGTTTTTCTTCATTACTATGGCTATCTCACAGACATAGTTTGTTTTGGATCAATGAATACACTTGGGCTTTACTATAATAATCTTGAACTTAATGCTGAAGTCAGAAATATGTGGATTTTGATGCCATTTGAGCTACTGCATGATTTAAAATGAAAACCAGTACACAAGCAGATAAGGTCTTTTGGTTAGATATAAATATCCCTAAAAATCAAGGGGGTTGGATGGATGGCCAAATGTTTAGTACATTGAGTCAACTGGCAGGGTTTCGATTCCCCAGTTATGTGTGACAAGGAATAGGGTTGTCTGTCAAACCTTGTGGGTTTTCTCTGGGTCCTCTGGTTTCCTCCCACTGCTAAAGACCCCTATGCGCAAGTGAATTATTGAGATAAAAGTGAACCATGTGTTAGTCCTGAAATGACCTAGTTTGTGTTGAGTGGACATTAAACCCCATTTCTCTCTCTCTCCTAAAAATCGATGAATATACCTATCAAAATTATATGTTTTACTGACATAAGATTAATAGAAGATGATTATCCTATATTGTAAGCCCATTGAAATAAATTGTCCGTGTGAAGTGTAATATATGTAGTGACAACATTGTCTCTAGCCATCCTAGCCACCTTAACTGAGATGTTACAGTACTTAATTGCGGGTAATATAGTTCGACTAATCTGGGTAGTCAATACAGGGAGGGAGGGAGAGAGTGAGGGTTTAAGTCCACTCGACACAAACTAGGTCATTTTGGGACTAACATATGGTTCAATTTTATTTCAATAATTTGCTTGCGCTTCAGGGTCTTTAGCATGCACTGGGAGGAAACCGGAGAAAACCAACGAGCTAGTAATAGTTATAGGGACTTAGTGAGATTGGTATTAGCTCACAACCTCAGGATTTTGCATCCTTGTTGCAGAATGAAGGGCATGGTATAGAAAAAGTGTCTAGTAATTTGGATGGGTTAAAAAAAAAACTGAGATCCATATCTGTTTGAATTTGATGAAGAGAAGGCTAGTGTATTAACTCATGCAGTGCAAATATTTTTATATAGCGTACCTATATATGCTGTTTATATTAATAAACCTTTAATTTACTAAATGTTAGGCTACACAATATTTCAATATCACTATCAGTATCACACACCTGACCTGTCTCTAAAATAAAATATTTTAGTGACAGTGTCAGAGATTTGTTGGTTCCAAAAATAGACCCCAGTACTACGTCTCGTACCTTTGGAAAAAAATCTTAAAATAAAATTGTTCAATGACAATCGAAATTCTGACAATGACAAGTGAGTGAATTATGTCAGTGATGTCAATATATTTGAATTATGCAATGCTGAATGAGAGGATGTCATCGACTCTGACAGTCACAGTAAACAGTACGATTTACAGTTCAATCAATTAAATAGCTATGGCACACATGTCTATTTTGTTTTAAATAAAGATCTAGACTTCTAATTGTTTTTTTTTTATTATTAAATTTACTCAAAACGTTCTACCATTTTCTATTCATCATGGGCGCAGACATATTGGATTTTCTCCGAAACTAAAATCATTTAGAAATTTTGAAATTTTGTAAAGTCTAAATGTTTTATACATTTTTGTGTTTTTTTTATCGCATTTGTTTAATGAAATCCCTAGCATTGGATGGGTATTAGAAGAAAGATATGACTCACAAATGAAATTTTCAAAGAAAACATCGATTATATTTTTTCATACGAAACTAAAGTCAACCTTTTGCTAAAAATGGCGGCTGCTGTAGTCGAAGACGATGAAGCGTGGCTTTATGGGGGTAATTCCTTATTTGAATTGATTAATTAAGCACAAAACATTATTTGTAATGGTTACTTAAAACCACAGTGTTCCTGACATTGTAACTTTTATTTTGCATTCTAGTGTTTTTTAAAAGATACAATCACAAAGAGGCAGATATGCTTGACTAAAATCCGCATTATTAACAGTACACCGGTCGGTACTTTGTTAACTTTGTATTATCCTAATCCTATCACTATCAGTGTGTAGAATCAAGAATATAAGCTTGAAAATTAAATATTATTTTTGTACCAATTTATGTCATTTCGATTAAATATGAGTAAGGCCATGTCAAACCAACCAATGTCCCAAAAATACTAAAGCTTCTCACTCTTACTTAGCGAATTGATTAGCTAGATTTTTAATATACTATATACCGTACCCGTAAACACATATGATGTACTAATGTAGGCTACATTCTCGCTCATTTGGAGTTACCCAACCAATGTCCAAAACAATACCGAAGCTTCTCACTCTAAGAGAATTATTGGTTAGCATTTTATTGCATAGTTAGATAAGTTACTCCTCATCACAGTCGCCAACTCAAAAGACTTTATTATCAATAGTCTTACGTTCAACTCATATTATTGACTGTTTAAACCACAGAACTAGAACATGACACAATGATAAAACTTGTCAGATGTTCAGTAAAATGGTGTGTGATATCAAATATGGAATATTAAACAGATGGCAAATCATATGTTTATATATTTCTCACAATGTTGAGGATTTACTAGTTTAGCAGTTTTCAACATTGATCTATAGTTTATGCCATTTTTCAACTCAAATTGTAATAATAATACATTTTGCATATCAACAGTATAATTAACAAGTCATTGAATATTAATGAAAAATTGAGATAAGAAAATAGATTTTACATATTGCTTTTATCATTCATTATAGATGAAAACAAAGATAAAGAAAATAAAAAGACCAGGTAAGATCAAATGAGCTTGATGTTCTATTTCACATAAATTATGTTTACAGTCAAGTCTACATATCTTAATTCAATAGGAAATCACTAAAGTGTGGTTAGCAGTGACAGGGTTTAGTATGAATCAGGATTTAAAGTATAAAGCAAGGTGCCCATTAACTCTGTTTTAAAGCCCTTGTCTATAGTTTATTATTACTTTTGATACTTTATTTTTCAAGTTCCTGAACATTACGTCACCTTTACTCTCGATTCTTGGGAACAGGATGACAGACATTTAGATGTAACCAATTCAAGGTTGCACCCATATTGCCCTTGTACTGTGGACACAACTACATTGCTTACTTGGTTACACTTGCGGCTGCGTCTGTAATTAAACAAGTGAAGGTCATATTTTTGATACCTCGATCAGCATATCAGAAATCCTATATTCAAGTAACTATGGAAGTCTTATTGCCACCTCTTTCCTCATAATCTCAGTTGGAGCAGAACAGTAGGACGTTAATCCCCATTTCATTTCATTTCTTTTTGCCACCATTTCCAGTGTCTGTTTCTTGCCTTGTCATAAAGGAAAATGTGAGGCAACAGCTCACAAAGTAAGCAAAAGTAGAGGTTATTGCCTCCTCCCTTTCATCAACTAACCAAAAATTTTGTTTGTGTTTTATACAATGTAAATGTAAAGTGTGTTCATTTTCTTTCAACAGAAATGGGAAGAAGTTTGAGAAGAAGGATGATATGGAAGAGGGTCAGTTGGTAAGATGACATTGATTTTTTTTAATCATCAAACACATAGGCAACACCAATTTTCTGTTCTTTGATGTCTTGATAAATAAATAGCCTCTTGGATCATGTGAAAAATGTTTTGTTTAAAATTTCAAAAAGTTGGAACTAAAAGCTGTTGAACAGCACAGTCAGTCAGTTATGATTGACATGAAATTTGGCTTGATTTGTCCTTGGACAGTATCTCATTGATCGACACACTTTGATTCTTAAGATGATACATGTATCATAATTTCAAGACGGCTGCGATGACGACCTACTTGCACAGCCGGCACAGGTTGAAAGTAGTATAACTCTGAAACCGGAAGCAGTAGTCCTACGCCACCTAGCCCTTGTTACTCCCCTGTCCGAGCTATCTCTATACACCAACCCTGAACAGACAGACAAACGACAGTCACAAATATAATAATATAGATACAGTAACAGTACTATATTGTTGTTTTTCATTTATAGAGTGGTGAAGAAGAAAGTCAAGATAAAAGAGATAAAGCCAATTCAGATGATGATGATGACGACGATGACGATGATGATGATGACGATGATGTGCAAGTCACAATTGGTGACATCAAGACATGGAGTGTTGGCGAGTATGTGGATATATTGGTTTATTTTTAAAACTTTTAAATGTAGTTTCCCAGCGATAAAGCATGGTCAGTTTATGGAAACTTGGTAAAAACCCAAACAGCTTTAGATATTAAAAGGGAGATTATTGTAAAGAGAGTCCTACTTTAAACAATACTGGTTCCAATGGTCACCTGAAAAAATTCAGTTGAACCAAACAGTACATCAAAATAAAAATGTAATTTTATTGCAATGAAATCTTCTTCGTATGGGTGTTTTTCTCTCCAATAAAATGACATCCATAACTGCATGCTTGTTGAACTGAGATTATGAAGGAATTACCCCCATAAAGCCACGCTTCATCGTCTTCTACTACAGCAGCCGCCACTTTCAGCAAAAGGTTGACTTTAGTTTCGTATGAAAATTTCATTTGTGAGTCATATCTTTCATCTAATACCCATCTATTGCTAGGAACTTCATTAAGCAAATGCAATAAAAACCACAAAAATGTATAAAACATTTAGACTTTACAAAATTTCTAAATTTCTAAATGGTTTTAGTTTCCGAGAAAATCCAATATGTCTGCGCCCATGATGAATAGAAAATAGAAGAACGTTTTGAGTAAATTGAGTAGATTTTATACTGTTAACCTTGCCGCTGTGGCTCAGTGAGTAAGACACTGGCTTGCTAACCTAGAGGTCTCTAGTTCGCTCCTGGTGTTGGCCAGAAACCTGACATGGACAGTGTGTAGTCATTTGGATGGGATGAAACTGGGCGAATGAAGGCGGGCATACACCATACAGTATGCTATGAGGGAAACTTTACCTGGACAGCGGTGCTACAGCCTACTCTTACTGTCAGGGATCTTTTACATGCAAGCCAATTTGTACGCGGGACCTCAGTTTTTCGTCCCATCCTAACAACTAGACAGCTGTCCTTGTCAGGCCCTCCATCCTGCACCACTGATGAGGGAAAACTACACTCAATCTGATTAAAACACAGAACCTATTTCATTTTTTTATAGTTGAAAATTTCGTTTTACTTGTCATTACTTTGTGTACACTATTCATAACTTATTGATAGATTTATCATATATTTTGGGAGGTTTTGTATGTATTAATGTGAACATATTAATGAAATTATTGTAGAGGTGGTAGTAAATTATTTAAAGGAAGTGGTACATATCAAAAACCTGCAGGAGGTGAGTTTATTTTATTGATAACTAAATGTGTTGCCGTTAATTACTAATAATAGACTTTAAGTGGATGATTATGGTCATTTTGTTTTATTTTCTGAATTTGGTTTAAATATGTGGTATGTTAGATTTAATCTAATGTGACATGTGATTAACTTGTAGGTGTTTATTGTCGACACCGACGCCCATCTATCGATAGTCCGTCGTTCACCTTGGCTGCTTGATGCTTTAGAGGCTAAAGTTAATATCTGATTAAATACATAAAGTTTTTATATTCATGAGGTGAAGAAACCCATAGGTTTGCGTTGATTTCTGAGAACTCAAATGGTTAAACCTATCATCTGATTACGGGTATATGTTTTGTAGGTCAGGAATCAAATTTTGTTTGTAAGTACTTCATGGATCGTTACTTTTGATCAATTTTAATGAATTTTAAAAGCTCCCATTACCTACAAAAAATAAATATGCTACAACCTTTTCGACATTATACCATTTGGCCAGCCATAACAGTTTATGATTGATCAGAAGAATAAAGATTAAATTATTCTATTATTTCAGTGGTGGTATCTAAGACAACTAGTTCTACTAAAGGTATTGATATAGAAGCACAAGGCAGTATAAATGGTATACCCACTTATGAATTTGACATAACTAGTTTAGAAGAAAAACCATGGCGAAAACCAGGTAATATATTCTCATTTATTTTAAATCGTATAACTTATGCCTTGTAATTTATTAGATATTGGAAACAATAACTGTCTTAGTGCATTATTTGTATGACACATTTTGTTCAAGTTATGTGGTGCCCTGACTGCCTACAAGTTGTGTCCCAGCTTTGAATCACTGTGTGCAGTGCGTAGGGCCCCGAGAAGAACCATTGGTATTTGTCAATCACCTTTGATATTTGTCAATCACCTTTGACACGTCAATGAGAGTGATACATGCAGTGGATGAGGAAGGTGTATCTAGTTATTCATTGGTACGAAAACCTGAGGTCCAACCGTGCACTTTGAAAATTTGAAGAAGAGGAGGCGGAAATACAGCTGTCCTTGCAAAATCCTCTCCTCATAAAAGGGAGCCATGATGGCTTGCTAGCCTGGAGGTCTTGGGTTCGCTCCCGGTGTTGGCCTAGAAAGTTCATCAGGACTTTCTGGCATTGTTCCTCCTTGTCAGTGGTGCCGGACTGAGGCCCTGGCAAGGGACAGTAGATAGTCATTTGGATGTGACGGAAAACCAAGGTCCTGTGTGCACATTAAAGATCCCTTGGCAGTTGGAAGCCCATAGCAGCGCTGCCCGGGCAAAATTTCACTCACAGCACACTGTGAGGCATATACATGTACCCATCTTCATTAGTCCAATCGCAGCAGAAATTTACTAGTTAATTAAAAACTTTGTAAACACTGGACGAGATTAAACCGTTTTTGGACTGATATTCCTTTTAGTGATTCAGTTTTCACAATAGTTTGCAAGAGATTATATATCCCTTGATTGACGATCCAAGACCTTTAAGTAACATATTTATCTAAGTTATAACGTCACATGATTTTGAATATTTAAGGTGCTGATGTAACAGATTATTTTAATTATGGTTTTGATGAAGAAAGCTGGACACTTTATTGTGTTAAACAAAGAAATACAAGATTAGATAATGGTCAATCTACATTCAAATCAATGGTTAGTATTTGTTAGAAATATTATGGAGGCAATTAAAACCTCAAGTCTTATTAGCATGCCAATTATACAGTATAAAGATTCTGTTTTTCATGTATCTAAACATTTTCAATAACATAATCCTTATAAGACATATAGAAATAGATTTCACTAAAAATAAAACACACTTATATGGATATACTACTTCTGAATTTATTAACATGCTACGTTTCGATACACATACAGATATCGTTTTCAAGCAAATAATGATAATCAACAATAAATGTGGTACAATATATAGGTAACAAGTGGAAACCATTTAACAGAATAATCAATACTATCAACAACGCATTATCAAGATCAAAGAAGTTATATGAATTAACATGATGAAAGAATAACACTAATAATACAAAAGGACGAGATTAGAGGATAATTGACTACTAATAATACAAAAGGAAGTTGACTACTAATAATACAAAAGGAAGAGATTAGAGGCTAATTGACTACATGAAACCGTAACATCAAGACGCTAACTATATGAAACCATAACTATAAGATGAGATGAAAGTCAGAGATAGAAACAATCATCACAAGTGAAACCTTAACTACAAGATGAAATAAAGGGGGGGGGGTCATACACTTACTGATTAAGAATTAAATAAGTCAACCCAAAGATTTGGGAGGAAATGTCCTGAGTCTCTGTTTAATTTTGGCTTATGTTTTTGAATTTCCAAAGCCTCGCGAAGAACTCTGCTTTTCCATGTTGATAGGTTTCAAGCTAGTATTTCTATACTTTCCCATTTGATTTGGTGCTGTGGGTTTTGGTGGATATGTTCTGCTAGCGCTGATTTGTTTTGTTCTTGTTTTTTAACTGCTGTCTGATGCTCTTTAGTTCTGATTGAAATTGGACGGGATGTTTCGCCCACATAGGCCATATTACACTCACAATTTATTTTGTATATGACTCCCTTTGGGTCCTCTTTTGGTTTTAGTATTCTACCATCAGCTTTTAACATAGTTTTAAGTGTGGTTCCGCTACTGAACACTACCTCTGCACCGATTTGCTCTGTTAAAATTCTTTTTATTTGGTGGCTAGCTGGTCCTATAAATGGGATGGAGATAAAAAGCGGGCTAGTTCTTCTGATGGCAGTGGGTGGTTTGCAGGTATGAGTCAGTGTTTTCTTCATGGTGGCATTAACCGTATTAGCAGGGTAGTTATTGAATTCTGTAAGGACATGGTTGATATGCTGTAATTCATTATCGAGGAGGTCTTCATCACATATTAATTTTGCGCGTCTCGTTAAGGTACTAATAATTCCTGTTTTTACTTTGGTTGGGTGATTTGAACTATTATGTATTTATTTCATCTTGTAGTTAAGGTTTCACTTGTGATGATTGTTTCTATCTCTGACTTTCATCTCATCTTATAGTTATGGTTTCATATAGTTAGTGTCTTGATGTTACGGTTTCATGTAGTCAATTAGCCTCTAATCTCTTCCTTTTGTATTATTAGTAGTCAACTTCCTTTTGTATTATTAGTAGTCAATTATCCTCTAATCTCTTCCTTTTGTATTATTAGTGTTATTCTTTCATCATGTTAATTCATATAACTTCTTTGATCTTGATAATGCGTTGTTGATAGTATTGATTATTCTGTTAAATGGTTTCCACTTGTTACCTATATATTGTACCACATTTATTGTTGATTATCATTATTTGCTTGAAAACGATATCTGTATGTGTATCGAAACGTAGCATGTTAATAAATTCAGAAGTAGTATATCCATATAAGTGTGTTTTATTTTCAATAACACAACCTTTATAAGGACTTCTTGAACAACTTGACTGGTTGTGGGAAGTATGTTTTGTTGTCTGGTAACCTATCTTTCTTTTGTTATGTATAATTATTTTATTCTTTCAGACTAGTACAACGAAACCATCAGAAAAAGATTCTCAAGGTGGGCTTAGTATATAAAATATTTCTTTATTTATATTTACGATTTTCTCGGTACATTAGAATCTCTGCTAACTTTATTGTAATGTCGTGCACTCAGTTTGGCTTACAGTTGTGTTATGTTGAAGTCCTTGTTGACAAGGCTGTTATTATACTATTTAAAGTTAAGATAATTAATTTGATAATTTTATTTTCAAAAGTAACTAAGTACAAATTAACAAAGTGAAAATGAAATTGAAATGTGTTATTAAACATATTTTGTTTGTATCACAGAATATTTAAAAGAATAAAATCTTGTCTAGTCCGAACAAACTTTGATCAAATATAATTTCTTTCAACAGTATCTCCTGTAGTAACATTAATAGGTCGTAAAGCAGCTCCTCCGCCTAATCGTAAATATTATGGTACAATCGATGTGATTGGTTCAACTATGAGAGATTCACGCAGACCAGGAGAAGGAGCCATACCAACAACTGATACTCCTGATTAGTAAGTTAATTTAATGCTTGTGGGGCGGGGATGGTTGGGGGGGGGGGGGGTAGTTGAGAGGTAAGGGCACTAAATTCTCAACAAGAACATCCTGGGTTTCATTCTTGACTTGGATCGAGAAGAATCTTGTTCCCAGGGACATTGCATGTGTAGCTGATCGTTAAAGTGTTGTCTAGTGGTGCGAAAAAAAACGATGGTCCTCTCATGTATAAAATGTGTGCATGTAATTCCTAGACAGTTGGAATTCTATGAAACATTGCCCATGTGACCTTTTAAAAAATATTGGTAAGTCACTTAAATCACCAAGATTGAACTTGTTTCCTTTTGTGCATAATTAATATTTTTGTGTCGGGTAACTTTGAATTATTACTTATTCATGTAATGATGTTGATTTTATTAATAAACAAATCTTGCATATTACATATTTGAACAATTTATTTTTCAGTCGGAAATTTACTCCTACCATTCCACCTCCGGGAATGCCACCTCCTGCATTACCAGATTATAGTATACCACCGCCTGGGTTAGGTCCTCCACCTACTCTACTTGGTAAGTATAATACAATAACTACTATATTTAAGCAGTATGCAAGACAACAGAAGATAGATATATTTTGTGTGTTGTGTATACTTTATACTTGTGTCGCAGGTTCGATCCCGGTGTTGGCAGAGAAAGTTTATCAGTATTTTTCCCCATGGTTTCCCCTTGTCAGTGGTGCAGGACAGCTGTCTAGTTGTTTGGATGGGACAAAAAACTAAGGCCCTGTGTAAACATTGACGTGCACATAGAAGATCCCTTAGCATTTGGAATTCAATATAAGAGTAGGCCATAGTGCCGCTGCCCGGACTAAAAGTCCCTCATAGCAAATTGGAGCAGAACAGTAGGATGTTAAACCCCATTACATTTCATGGCAAATACTTTAATTCAGATATTTCATGCAATACAAGATTTGTCGACCCAGTTACCTTACAAGGAAAGTTACCATAAAGAAAGCAAGAGTTTATGCAATTTCATGTGATATTAGTTAGATCCAGTGTAAGTTTTGAAGTTTGCCATTTAATTTTTGAGGTGATCACATTTACTGACTGAACTTGTAAGTTTCCATGGATCACCCTACATAGTTGTTCTGATTCATCTTAATTTATTGTTTATGTAGTGTATCTAATGTTTTTTAGGTGTGACTCCAAATGTATCTCTTCCACCACCAAATTTCCCTCCTCCACCCGGTAAGTTAACTATAGATAAAGTTGATTGTTAAAAACATAAAGGGGTCGTTTTCTTAAAATGTATGCTCAATATCTCACTTATTTTAAACTAACCCTTAGTAGTAATGAAAATCAAATAACATTTCATCTTTCAACCTTCGTGGAGTGATTTGTTATTTGCCCTAGAGTGAGTTCCATTAAGTGATAGTTATCCAGTACAAACCCTTAGTATTAATGAAAATAGAATAACATTTCTTCATTCAACCTTCGTAGAGTGATTATTGATTTACCCTAGAGTGAATTCCATTAAATGATAGTTATCCAGTACCAACCCTTAGTAGTAATGAAAATGGAATAACATTTTATCTTTCAACCTTCGTAGAGTGATTATTGATTTACCCTAGAGTGAATTCCATTAAATGATAGTTATCCAGTACCAACCCTTAGTAGTAATGAAAATAGAATACCATTTCATCATTCAACCTTCGTAGAGTGATTATTGATTTACCCTAGAGTGAATTCCATTAAATGATAGTTATCCAGTACCAACCCTTAGTAGTAATGAAAATGGAATAACATTTCATCATTCAACCTTCGTAGAGTGATTATTGATTTACCCTAGAGTGAATTCCATTAAATGATAGTTATCCAGTACAAACCCTTAGTAGTAATGAAAATAGAATAACATTTCATCATTCAACCTTCGTAGAGTGATTATTGATTTACCCTAGAGTGAATTCCATTAAATGATAGTTATCCAGTACCAACCCTTAGTAGTAATGAAAATGGAATAACATTTCATCCTTCAACCTTCGTAGAGTGATTATTGATTTACCCTAGAGTGAATTCCATTAAATGATAGTTATCCAGTACCAACCCTTAGTAGTAATGAAAATGGAATAACATTTTATCTTTCAACCTTCGTAGAGTGATTATTGATTTACCCTAGAGTGAATTCCATTAAATGATAGTTATCCAGTACCAACCCTTAGTAGTAATGAAAATGGAATAACATTTTATCTTTCAACCTTCGTAGAGTGATTAGTGATTTGCCCTAGAGCTTGTTCCATTAAATAATAGTAATCCAGTACCAAATCTTAATAGAAATAACATCTGCTATTTTCTGGGTCAATCCTTCAACTGTATGATACCTTTGTATACATTAGAAGTTACTGTAATTTACCTATGAATATTGATTATACATGTACATGTAACCATAGATTATAGAAATTACCTTATAGTTAGTGCAGGAGGACTGCACTTCACACAAAACAAAATCTACAAGATAAACCCACGGACACTGCAAAAAATAAACAAATATTAAATTAAGTGAATGTTGGTCTCAAATTAACCTGTAGGATATGATGTGATGTTAAACTCCATTTCTTTGGTCATTTTGTTGCTAAGTGATTTAAGACAAGTGATTGTGTTTTTGGCTGAGGAAGTCCTGCAGCATTTTCCAGCCTTGTTTTCCTCCTTGTGATTGGTGCAGGAAACCAAGCAAAACATCTAGTTATTTGGATGGTCCGAAAAACTGGGGCCCCTTTTATATATTGGTGTGCACAGAAAAGAACCCTTTACAGTAAAATTTGAAGAAGTGTAGACCTCAAAGCCTTACTTAAGGCAAAATTTATTTCAAATCCCTTTGCATGACGCATACCTGTCTGCAAAAGCCCCGTTGGTGCAGAAATGTAATACGGTTAATCCCCCTTGATTTCAGATGTCCTTTCTTTCTATTTCAATCAATGTAATAACAACACGATTTCTTGTTACAGGTTTTTTTCCAGCACCAGGCACCATGCCACCCACTGAAAGGTTTGTTTGCTTATTCATGTTTAATTTTAAAACCTTTATCCAAGTCTTTAATGAAATTTATAATGTGGTGGTTCAATCAACATTTATGAAAGCAAATATGGTCAACATGGGAGAAAAATTGATTTTGTCATCTATCTGTTGTCTAAGGGGAGGTAATATTGTGTTAAGGCTATGTAGTAAGAGTTACTTCCCTTGAAATGTAGCGTGCCCAGATATAATTAAGTCATTGACTTATTAAAATCTAGTGAAAAGGAAAGTCTGAAAAATTTTTATTTTATCACAAATCTGTGGTCTAAGGGGAGATAATATTGTGTTAGGGTCATGTGTTAAGAGTTACCTTCCTTAAATGTAGCCCCCCCCCCCAAAAAAAAAAAAAAATCTTCTATTTAAAAGAAAATTCTGTAACAAGAAATTAGAAAATATATCTTATAAATGTATTAATTTGAATGATTATTTTTATCTAGATGTGTTTGTTTTTATTTGTTCTAGTTACGAAGACCGAGCTTTTACATATGATGCAGCTACAGGAACGTATAACTATGGTTCTAATACATGGGATAACAGGTACTTGTTTTATTTTACACCTATTAGCATGATTCTAAACATAATTCATGCTTCTAACATCAGGTCATACTCTTTAGTTAATACTTTCACTAATCACAGAAATAGAAATGGGTTAGTTTGAAGAGACATTATCACTTTCAACTCGGAACGAAAAACCAAGGTCCCATGTACGTAAAAGAACCCTTGACAGTTGGAATCCGAAATAAGAGTTTACAAGCAAAATATAGCTTGTGGCACTCGAGGCATATAGAGTGCCTGGCATGAAAAGGAGTCCAGTCATGTGGATTGTATGGTAATCCCAGGTGCTTTGTATACCATTATCAGCACATTAAAGATGCCCTGGAAATTTGAAATTAAAATACTGCATGGTGTATGCCTAACTTCATTAGTCTGGTTGGGGGCAGAAAACCCCATTTTATTTTAGTAAAGATCTTCAAAATACTAATATCTTTTTTATCAATCCTTCCTTTTTTCATGCAATTTTGTAGAACAAAATTTTAAACCTTAGAAAATGTCGTTTTGATTTATAGCACATGAATTCACTACATTGTTATTCTGTTTTCTTGTACAGACGTAAATCAAAAAGGTACATTTTAACAAATAACTCGATTCTCTATAATATCTTGGGTTCTGGTCCGCGGTCAGATTTTATACCTCTTTAAATGGGTGTCAGAACTCTCTTTTGGAAATGGCTGTCATTATTATCTATAAAATTTCTTCTTATTCTTTCCTCTATCCCACCATTTTATTATGATTAAACATACAGTATGCAAGAACTAAATCTGCCTATTGCAGGTCTTTCTTTATGCTTTAAATGTTATAGAAATTGTTAATTAAAAATAAATTAACTTGCCAAGACCATAATCAACTCTTGATGCCATCGGATACTCTAGATTTCGCAGCTTTTTTATGTGAATAAATTTTGTAATAATTGTTTATGTAACATTTGAAGCCAGAAAAAAGATCTGCAATAAGCAGATTTTACTCTTACATAATGTATCTTTAATAAAAAAATTATTTTTTATATACGAAAGTAGAATTTAATGTTAAGTGCCAGTAGATTGGAAGTTTACATGTTTTAAGTGCATATTTTATTATAAATATTTTTGGAATTCTGTTTATTGTGGTATTGATGCTTTTCTTGAAATAACTGCAGCAGTTGTGAACTCCTGTCATGTTTTGATTAGCAAGTATTCCCATTTTTATTAACCTGGTTGGAGCAGAAAGTAGATTGTTAAACTCCATTTTAATTTATTTTGTTTTGGGTATATTTCTTTAGTTACATGTATAAAAGTATGATGAATGTTGTAAGAATATAAAGAGACCAACTGTAATTGATTTAAGTATTTTATTCTGTTTTAGGAAATCTGAAAAGAGGTATATTATGATACATGTATAAAATAGTGAAATAGTAGTATATAAAGTTACCATGTCTGATTCTACTACAGTAAACCTCGCATAAGTCAGATTCGTACAAGTCAGATCTTTGCTCAACTGGGATAAAATCGTTTTCACCCTTTCATCCTTCACGTTTTTCTTATAAACCCCTTAACTGTGTAATTAATTTGAGGTTAACTACCCCTTATTGCGTAATTAATTTGACGAAAAACGTCATATTTGGGCCTATTTTTTCCTGAATACAAATTTGAGTGGTCTTAAACCAAAATAAAACTAACAGTAAATAGAGTTGTCTCCCTTAATTAGATTCATCGACCAGGCGTAATAATACGTCTTTTCCGCGTGGTAAGATTGTGTTCTAAGAATAGGTTGGGGAAAATACCTCCAGGGCGTTATATTACGTCCTACACACGGTGAGTGGCAGTTGTCCAGGACGTTATATAACGTCCTACGCAGTTAAGGGGTTAAATTTCTGCGTGTAAGTCGGATTTTTTCCTTGCTGTTAAAAATACGTCCTGGCTAACACCATTGAAATCCAAATACAGGGCAGTGCACAAATTTGCGCAACTCGGCCATATAAGACGAAACGAAATTGGAATTTTTGCAAAAATTTGATTGTAATTGGGCTAGGCAAAGCGATAATTGAATGAAGTTTCTCAGCTTTTCAACAATTCTAATTTTTCCTCAACCCAGTTTACCTAAATTTCGTTTCGTCTTATATGGCCAAGCCACGTAAATCCATACGCCACCCCACATCTAGGCCTTGATGTTTAGCAGAAGGGGACGGATTTTTAACAGCATGTTGTGTTGCACATACTGACTCTAGCGAGGTAAGCAAAGTCTTATTTTCTCACTAAAATGTTCCTTTACATTGTTTGGGCATTCACAGACCGTTTACCAGTAAAAAGTTGCCAAGTAAAATTGACTGGGAATCGATTTTATTTCGACAAGGATTGAATAGGACGTTTCCCGAACGTACAGGGCGATAATGAGACCTACGTTTAGAGCTGAACTAGGTCTTCGGCTAACTCGCATCTTCGCGTAACTCAGATAAAATTGGTCAGTCAATTTCGATCCGACTTATGCAAAGTTTACTGTAGGCCTATATATCATTCATATTAAAATCATCAATTGTTGCCACTTGAAGTTCACTGCTCAACTTATTTTCAAAACCCTGACCAGTAAATATGACAACCAACAGTGCCTTAGGAACTGTTCTTCAGCATTAGAAGCCATGGTGGCTAAGTGAGTAGGATGCTGCTTTGCTGGCCTGGCGGTCTTCTGTTCGCTCTTGGTGTTGGCTGGGAAAGTTCATCAGGATTTTTCGACATGGTTTCCCCTTGTCAACGGTGCAGGATGGAGGGCATGACAAGGACAGCTGTGTAGTCGTTCGGATGTGCACGTAAAAGATCCGTTGACATCTGGTATTCGATATATAAGAGTAGACCGTAACGCCACTGTCCGGGCAAAATTTTCCTCATTCAGCCCAAAATATTTAGCATTTGCAAATGACTGCCAAATCTTAAAGTCAAGTCTCATCATTCCTTTCTTGTTCAATTTGCTTTGAGTTTGACTATTAAAAAAGAAGTCACACAATATGCTCAATTTGGGTTCAATGGAATGATAAAGTTTCTTTCTTTTCTGTGGCTATATTTTAATTTTTTGATAACTTCACACATGGTATCTTTAAATATTGTGTTTGAGTGCTAGCGCTTGAATTGTATGTTTGTATGTACGTTTGTATATATGCTTGTATGTATGTTTGTTATGTATGTTTGTATGTTAGGTTAAGGGATATGTTGTGTAGTGTTTGTCTGAAATGTTTTGTGGTCATGGAATGCGTTTTATTGTAAACAGGTTTGTAATTTTTGCCTTTAAGATGATTTTAAAAAAAGCTTTGATGAGTGTAAATTGGGCATTTGTTGTGAATTCAATATATTTTATTCCTATTGTCTAGAATTAAAATGGTTTTAACAATGCAAAATTTCATTTACAAATCATTTGCCTTTAACATATTAAGAGCCTGGCTTGAAAATTATGATGTGGAAATGTCATTCACTGTTTATGAAGAAAACCAGGTATATGTGCTATTATAACTACTTTACAAACAGTGTAGGTGTATGTATACACTGTAATAAAGTCATTGAATCTTTAAACATGAGAAAAACATGAAGAAAACAGGGGAGGTGGATGGCCGAATGGTTGGCGCGTGTGCACTGTATGATAATGGTCTGTCATTCAGTCAACTGGAAAGACCCCTGCGCGCATGCGAATTAATGAAATAAAATTGAGGCATATCTTAGAACCTAAATGACCTAGTTTGTGTCAAATTTACGTTAAACCCCATTTCTCTCTATCTCTATTAACAAAACACATTGAATTTATTTTCTGTGTATAATCAAAAATGACTGCTGTTTATTTACAGTGGATGACAGTTCCCCTCATTACATCACAGCCTGTGTATTTATTTGTTAAAGATAAATGATTGGTACTTTGGGTTCGGAAAGGCTGATACTATTTCTATACTAGATTATAATTAAGATAAACAGAATCTACAGCGGATAGACTTCTTAAATTGTATGGAATCAATTTTGCATATTATTAATACTATTCTTTTGATTGGCTCTAGCTATTTTGTCAGTACTCAGTTGTGATTGGACATAAAAATGAATGAATGTGATTTGTGTGTTAAAGTTACAATTTCATATTTTTAAGTTATATTTTTAAAATCTATTAAAATAAAGCCCTAAAGTAGATGGTATCTGTAAACAGTCGTACCTTGTTAAAGAATAATCCTATTAATCCTATAATTCACTATTGCCAGTTGAGAAATTGGCAAAAATATCATTTTCAACTTCAAATTCAAACGTTTGAAGATAGCTATTTCATGGTGGGGAATAGGAAAACAAGGGAGGTAATTATGTTGTTATTCCCGGTGTGAAGATTTTTAAGTGTGAGAAAGATAACCTATTGAGCAAAAGACATAGAAATTATTATGTTTTGACTTTCTTAGAAAATATGAAATTGTAACTTTAAAATGATGCATGTTAGTGGAAATTGTTTTGAATTCTAACAGCTTCTGATGAACAGTTTTTTGTGCAGCTTGCTTTATTAGGAAAAAACATTTTAAAGCATGCCACCACTGAATGTTGGAAAATTTTCCATTCATCATATCTTTGTAGATGCTGGGTGAAATTGTACCAATTTAATATGCTCATATGGGAATGAGGTCCTATATTGTCGTTGCCCCTCGTCTATCATCCACAATTTCTTGTGAAAACTCCACAAACTATGTTTCTAATGTCTTTACATTAGTGAGATGCTAAAGACTTTTAAATTTAAAAAATTTCCATTAGTTACTTCTAGAGTTATTGCCCTTGGTTGACTTTGTAAAACCTTGTGAATGCATTAAAATTAGTGAAATGAAGAAACCTATAGAATTTCAGCAATGATATATACCTTCTTAGAGATTTTGCCTTGTTGACCGCTCTGATGACTGAGCTGCTGTGTATGTATGATTTGTTGCATGGCAACCTATCTTTGGGCTAATATTCCTTTAAGAGGATCAACTTTCACAATATTGTAGTTTGTCAGTGATTTAAAAACTATGACGATCAGAAACTTTAAAATATCAGCAGAACAAGATGAAGAGCAAGTCTACAACCAGAAAATAAAACAGAATGTAATTTGTTATAATTTTAATTAGACTTAGAATCTGTGTTTTTTTGAGTTTGTTAGGTTTTCTTTTCTGACAATTTTCTGTGTTTCTTAAGGTTTTATTTTTTTTGTATATCTTACAGAAGTTCGTATGATCGTTATGATTACAGCAGACGTGATCGATCCCCACCATCCGACGATGAATATTCAGTTTCTAGGTTTGTTCTTTGTTTGATATAATTTATTGGGTTAAAATCGCTTTAAGTTTGGCATTATTTATTATTAAAATGGCTAAACCTCATTGATTTGGTTTGTAACACAAATATAACCAATAAGGCTGTTCCATGTTCAACACAGTAACTCAAAGCTACATGTAGTTGACTTTATTCTTTTGAAACCAGGGGGGTTGGGTGGTTTAACACGTGCATGTGAAATCACAAGGTCAGTCATTGAGTCAAGTGGCATGGTTTTGATTCCCAGCTTGTACATGTCAAGGAGTAGTGTTGCCTGTCCATCCTTGTGAGTTTTCTCCAGGTCCGGTTTCCTCCCACTGCTAAAGACCCATATGCGCAAGCGAATTATTGAAATAAAAAATTGAACCATGTGTTAATCCCGAAATGACCTAGTTTGTGTTGAGAGGACGTTAAACCCCATTTCTCTGTCTCTCTCTCTTTTGAAACCAAGAATCTTATTGTTTAGAGATTGCCTTATCACCAATCAAAATAATGCACTATATCAGTGTGATACAATATTTTGATATGACCTAAATCAAAGCGGTTTAGCTCCTTTAAGAATAAAATTGAGCTTTTAGCTTTTCTCTCTAAGGGTTATGTTTTATTAAATGAATGTAGATTGATGTATATGGAGCTCTTTTGCAAAAAAACAATGATTATCATGTCAGTTTGGGCGTAAAAATATAGTTTTCCATTTTAAAACCATGTATAGAAAAGTAATTTTGTGTTTTGGAAAAGAACTCTGCATGTCTTACGCAATCTTACGCATTTTTGAATACTTACCGATATTTAAAGCTTTTTGATTTATTTTTTAAACAATATTTATGAGCTCTGTTTACATTATTTACTAACATTGATTCCTAATAAAGCTAGGAGAAAAAATATATTGTGTTTATCAGACCCTATTTTTATTTCTAAAAATAAAAACTCTCATCAATTACCATATTTTCATATTTTTCTTGAGTTACTAGGGTCGCCTGTCCAACTTCGTGGGTTTTCTCTGGGTCCTCAGGTTTACTCCTGCTAAAATTGATCCATATATGTTAGTCCCAAAATGACCTAGTTTGTGTTGAGTGGAGATTAAACCCCACTTCTCTCTCTCTCTCTTTGGTTACAGGAAGTAGCTCTGTACTATAAAACATTTCTAATTAAAACCCCAAGTAGGCTCATTTATCAAGTACATGTACTCCGGTAAATGTTATAAATGATACTGGATAATCCTACATTTCTAAAGAAAAATATAGTGCCTTGAAATGTGATGTTTATGAGAAGTCATTTAGAAAGAAAAACAAGAAAATAAAAACCTCACTCCCACATCAGAGTTTTGAAAAACCTAGATCGTTTCCCAGATTTGGGGGGAGAATTGTATGAGAAACAGAATATATTTTTTTATTTTCTGCTATACTAAAATTGATATCTATAAGGTATACAGTTATGCTTCAGTTATAATCTAGATGCATTACGAAGAAATTTCCCATAAAGTCTGTGTGAAATGTTTGCCGTTATTCTCATTGTGCTAAATTGGTAAAATACAATATAAACATGTGACTTTTGGGCGTGCATCTTAATCTGGCCTCCTTTGTTTACGTTGTCATCTTGGAGTTCAAATAACTTTAATCCATGGCAGAAGGCTTCTCTAGCTGGAAAATTATCATACCTTTTTCATATTCCGTACCGGATACACAAACCTCATCATACCCAAGATGGGAGCCACAGTGGCTCTCTAAGACAATGGCTTGCTAACTTGGAGGTCGCGTGTTTGATCTCTTGAGTTGACTGAAAAAAAGTTTATCGGAATTTTCTGGGTTGTTTCCCCTTGTCTGTGGTGCAGGATGGAGGGCCCAAAATGTGTCCGATTGAAAAACAAGGCATGATTTTTTTTCCATTTTTTAACGGATTTCCGCTATTACAGTCGTTCACAGGTCGTTCATGTGAAGCGTCTGAATTTGCAATTAAAAAATGGGCGGGGGTGGGGGGGTAATACATGTCGGCAAGTCTTGAGAGGGAGATTAGTTTAAGTTCATTAAAAACTCAGGCCTTCACTTCTAACCCATTGTTAAAAGCATGGACCGTGTGAAAAGTAAACACAGTTTGCTCAATTATCAAGTCTCTTGTCCGTTATTACCGTATAATTAAACAATCAGACCTAGAAAACAGAAAGTTAACAGAAAGATACCTTTGAGATATTTATAGTAGATTAGTTTTGTTGACTAATGCTTGTAAACAAATGGTTTATTTAATTAATATGTTTTTATCATAATTTTTTTTTTTGTCTCTTTTAATATTTCAGTCACAGAGATAGAAGGTAGTTGATTAGTATATATTGTTTGTAAATCAAAGGGAAAGAGTATCCAATATCTTATCATTTTATATCCACAAGTTTAAAGGACACTATTGGTGTCAGCTATTATTTTTTTTACTTGTCAAATATCCTTTCTCAGTCTCATATAACACCTTTTGGTCTTCGAAGGAATTATTAGTAAGAAGAAATTCGACCGTGTATCTGTTATTTCTCTTTACTTCAGTCAGTTATATAGAAGGATAACTCATGTTTTCCTTTTGCTTTTGTCACTTCCGTTTCTTGAAATCTTTCGTATTAAGTGCGTAACCCATTAAGTGCGTAGGTTGTTATATAACTTCCTGGACAACTGCCACTCACTGTGTGTAGGGCGTAATATAACGCCTTGGGGGTATTTTCCCCAACCTATTCTTAGAACATAGTTCGTCACTTGGGGGAATCCCTTGGGAATTCTCCCACGATCACAGCATATGTAGGATGTTATATTACGTCCTGGACAACTGCCACTCACTGTGTGTAGGGCGTAATATAACACCTTGGAGGTATTTTCCTCCAATCTATTCTTAGAGCATAGTACATAGTTCTTCGTCACTTCGTCAAATTAATTACACAATAGGGGGTAGTTAACGTTTTAAAAACGTCACGCTTAACAGGTTAACCAGTTCTATCACATATGTGATAATGGCTGACACTAATAGTGTCCTTTAAACCAACCCTGTCTGTCTGTCTTTCACAAGCTCTAGAGACTACGCTATCATCAATTGACTTTGAACTTGTGAATAATAAGCCATCAAGACATATGAAAGCGCTTTTAAATGGCTACATTATGTGATTGACAATATTAAGAAGCGTTTAGCATCATTATAAATTGTGTAGGTTGATGTAAGAGTTGATTTACTTCACTTTGGTAACTGAAATAATTGAAAGTAACTTTGGCTTATGAAAATATTACTGCTATATCACTAGTGCTCAGTCCTGTACACAAGACAGGATATGCTTGATCTTTTTTAAACACCTAGTACAATTTCTTGGTTATTCAGTGAAGTTCACATTTAGCAACACCCGTCATGGTTCTTTTTTAAAAAATACTTGCACATTTTTCTGAAATACATATGCAGGCGGTTTATGAGAAAAAACCCAATTAACTGTGTCGTTATATGCATTTAAGATATATCCTGTTAATGAAATTTACGCATGTCATAAGTTAGTAGATTATCTACGATTATCTGCTCTAGAAACTGCTGTGATTCATATTTCATCGATCAGAAATGTTGACATAAAATCACACTTAATTTATGTTTAAAAGTTTGAATACTATGAAAAATTTAAGCATTTTTACATTTCAGTAGCTCCTATTATCGAGATAGAGAGAGGAGCAGGGATCGTGATAGGGACAGTCATCGAGATCGAGATAGGGGTCGTGATACTAGGGATAGAGATCGAGAGCGGGATAGAGATCGTGATAGAGAGAGAGAAAGATCAAGAGAGAGAGATAGTTCTAGAGAAAGAAGACATAGAGACAAAGAAGAGAAACACAAGAAAAGGTATACAATAATATAATGAATATTTCACAGATAATGTAAAACAAAGATACAAATTTGATGTTTTGTATTTGTGGTTAAGATACAGATATCATACCTTTGATAGTGTTTTATATCAACATTTATTTTCATAATTTTGCCTGTTACTGTTTGATTTGGTGAGATTTGCAGGTCCTTGTTTAACAAAAAAATGAGTTTGGCCTAATTGAATGTGTGTTATGGAGTGAAATGAATCTGTACAGAGATTGTTATAGTTGATGAGAAAAATTGTGAGACATTTGATGAGTTTGTACACGGCCACATTGAAATGTGGTCAGTGATTGTCGTCACACTTGGCAGTCCAGCATTGACAATTGACTCTAAATTGATACACAGTGTTTAGTTTATGTTGATAGATGAATACGGTTATAGGTTAGCAGTACATGCTATATTATGTTATATTTATAAACTATAACACATGCTTATTGAAAAACAGCCACTTATGTATGTGGGTGACGTTTTGAGGAGTATTCTTTTAAGGTTAAGAGGTAGCCAATTAAATAAGTAATTGTTTTTCCATAAGTATATATTATAATTTATTGCTCTTTCCAGTTACTAAATGCCAGAAAGAAGCTATCAAATTTTAATTTTTTCTGGCAATTGCTGTCTTTGATCTATTTTTACTTTCTAGTAAAAGATCCAGTTAACAACAGCAAAAAAAGTGAAAACCTTTGTGGCCTGCTCAGACGACTTAACTGTTGTTAATGTATGGTTTGTTACCTGGCAACCTATATTTGTTGTTTGTCATATGGATTTGTATATTTAATTTCAGGAGATTTAAAGAAGAGAAGGATTCTGACGATCATCATTCATCATCTAAACATAAGAAAAGTAGTCGGAAAAAACGTGACAAGGACGAGGAAGAATCGGCTACAGATGATAACAAAGGGGATTAATCCTTGTATAAACTTTAATTCAAAAATAAATCATGTGGATTTTAAATGGACACGTAAAGTGAAGAAACTGTGGCCTATTATTGATCGTCTCAAATCTGTATAGTGTGCTACGAACTGTTAAGGCCTGTTTGAATACACTATGTAGTTTGACAAGAACTGTTTAAAGACCTGTGTAGATTATATATACGTGTATGTATAGTGCAGAGATGGGATTTCGCCGGTATATTTTGTTGACATGTGATTCTTAATTGTGGTATGAATTCTTCTGCTTAAATAATGATAAGAGTTATGCCCCTTTATTTTCGGTAAAATGTCCAACAAGAAAAATTTTGAAATCCCATCTGGTAAAGTGTAACAAGAACTGTTAAGGCCTGTGTAGATAATAAATATCTACATGATATATTGTATATAGTATTAATGAGATATTAAATATTTGTTGTATATTTTACTGCTTTTATACCATCAACACAAATGAGCCGCAGTGGCTAGGGTGAGAAAGGTGTTGGCTCGCTATCTAGGATCCCCCCTTCCATTCCCCTCCCCCTTCCCCCTGGTCAACTAGCTAGGGTGAGAAAAGTGTTGGCTCGCTATCCAGGATCCCCCCTTCCATTCCTCTCCCCCTTCCCCCTGGTCAACTATGTAAAAAAAAAAAATGTAATGAACGGCCACATGCTTTATCGTTTATCATCAGATGGTGGGATGGGATGGGTATTCACAGCGCGGGATAATGCTATAGACATACATCATAATTAATGTTTTGCTTCAGTGAAATTGAATCACAATGTAATCCTATTAATTCAGCAGGACGGAGGGGCTGACAAGGAAAGCTGTCTAGTCGTTCGGATGGGACGAAAAACCGAGGTCCCGTGTACACATTGGCGTGCACGTAAAAGATCCCTTGGCAGTTGGAATTCGATATAAGAGTAGGCCGTAGTGCCGCTGTCCGGGCAAAATTTCCCTCATAGCACACTGTATGGCGTATGCCCGTCTTCATTAGCCCAGGTTAGGAGCAGAAAAGTAGGACGTTAAACTCCATTTCATTTCATTTCATTTCCTATTAATTCATTATAAATATTGAGGTAAAAGGTGGTGTTGAATTTCTCTCTTTAAAAAGCTCAGTGTATATGACATGTATGCCTACGTAATTTGGAAAAGATTATGGCATTGTCAACTGTCAAATTTCCTTAACAGGAACCTGGCAAACCCCCTTCTGCAAAAATTCCTGGATCTGCCCATGCTAAGGATTGAGGCTCTGTAGCTTGACCAACCACCCATTTCTATAGCAACTGGTCGTTTCCATAGCAATGACAATTAACAATAATGTAGAATATTCTTTCTTTATTTTGAAAATAACAATATTTCCAAAAGATTTTTTATATCAAAATAACTTGTAAATATCTAATCAAATAATCGTGTATTATGACATATTCAATAAGTGATGTACTGTGGGAAATTCTTATGACATTGGCCACATCACACATACGGAGAAATTTCACTAAACTTGACTAGTTGAGTATAATGCCAAGAGACGTTCGAGCAAGGTTCCCGGTTGGACGGCACTGCTGGATGGAGCGGGAAGTGCTGCGATGAACGTTCCTCGTGATTCCATCAGTTTGTCTGTAAAGTCATCAATATCAGACACAATTATGCTCAGAATTCGAGCAGCAGACGAAAGTTGAGTCTGAAAAGATATGTTAGATTTGAGTTATAATAATACAATGATAGTGTTTAAAGTTTACATAGACATAACTAGCCAGTCTAATTAAAATTGGGGGGTTGGATCATACATGTAAGGCCTTCATTGAGTCAACTGGCGTGGTTTCGAATCCCCGGTTGTACGTGACAAGGAGTAGGGTCGCCTGTCCAACATCGTGGGTGTTACTTGCGGGGTCCTCCCACTGCTAAAGACCCCTACGCGCAAGCGAACTATTGAAATAAAATTCAAAACCATATGTTAGTCCCAAAATGACCTAGTCTAATTAAAATTATACCAACATTTTATTTATCGTCTCGGCTAGAAAGGGTCATTGAACAATCTCGCTGATCTATTGAGTACACCGGACTGTATCGCATTCTGTAGATTAGATAAATTTGAACATAACTGTTTCATAAATCCGTGGTTTGCCGTCGAAAAATATCCTATTGTTCCGTTTTGGGTCCAAAATTATGAACAAAACCACCAAGTTTTTGTTCTATATCGTGTTCACAAGCTTTAAAAGTCAGAATGTCAAACGAAAAATTACTTTGAAATTTACGATCCGAAAATGTTCAAAATCCAGAACAATCCGTCTAGTTATAAAGAAAAAATATATGTAGAATTTAGCATAAACTGGGGGATAACTTTGCGACATAACCCTACTGATTTAAAAGAAAAGGAAAACCCTTTTCATATTTCATAATGAACTTGGGACAAAACATCCACAAAGAACCTTGACCTGCCGAGTATTATCAACGATTCGTTGACGGGAAGATGGCGACAAAAAACATCAACAGTAAATGTGTAAAATAAAGCGCTCGAATTAGTTGGATAAGTATTGCTTGCCGAACTTGAATACATAAGTAAGACTAAGTCATTTAATTCAAAGAAAATATATCACGAACTCAAACTGAGATATTGTAGTTATTTATTTTTATTATTGATAAAATATTAAAACTTACCGCTTTTGTTGCCAGTGCTTCAGGTTGAGTCGCGGGTTGTTCCACTTCTTCAGAGTCGTCACCTTGCTGCTCTTCTAAAACTTCAGCTTGCTTCCTTGCAGCTTCTGCTTGAGATTGTAGGCTGATCAGTTGTGTTCTCAGCTTAGCAGCAGCATCTTTACCTGTTGTGTATAAATTACCTAAAATTGACGCCGCTGTTTCTGTAGTCGGAGCCATATTTCCACCCGTAACCGCGGCCACGGCTGCACCAGTGCCTGCTTCTGTATTACTCGGCGCAGCTGAATCTGTAAAACGATAAAAATAAAGTAATATAATATGAATATCCACGCGTGGCTGATCGAGAGGATACAGAATTAGTGCAATATAAGCTTTACGAAAATTTAGCAGTTCTTAGGGACAACACGAGAGTTTATATATATAACTACAAATACAAAGTACTGATCTAACCAGTGACACTGGAATAACTCCTGGTTCACCCAAGTGCGTTTATGTTCTTTATCTGAAATATTATTAAAACAATTCTGCACTAATATAGGACATTGCTCTGGAAATCCCCAATCTGTTGAAGTGTCTTCAAGATTTGGAACAATTAATGAAAGGTATTAAAGATGGGTTCCTGGGTACAAACTGGGTGATTTAATGGTATATATGGACTAAAAACATATATATTCAAACTAATTAATTTGTCATAATTATGCTTCAAATCCTTCTCAAACATTGTAATTGCGAAGGAATGCCCTGCTATTAAAATTCGATCAATTCTTGAAAGTCAGAGGAGAATTTATTGCATACATAAGACGATGTTGTCTTTAATCGCTTACTATTTATTACAAATATCGAATCCTAATTAAATTCTCGGATTATCCACTACCCGCGTCTTTTTCCGTCATTTTTATCTCAGAAAGTGTTGTACGTCTAACTCTTCATAGCGTTTATCACCTCGTACATCAAGCGCTCAATGTTCGCGTGTGACCTTTGACATCACGCGTGCAGCAGAAATTCTTAATCGTCGCGCTGTTGATTAGGGGAACCCTTACATTTTTGTCCTGTATACGCTCCATGAGTGTTTTTCGGGGAATCCAGTATTTTTCTAGTAAGATTGGATATGTCTACTTTCCATATATACCAAAATTGTCATACTTTTATTGAAAATAACCACCCGATAAATACTTTTCTGGGAACCCATCTTTAAGATTAAAATCGGTTTGATCTGCTCGAAAAATATGCTTAAATCGCACGGAGAGCAACATATTATACTAAGAAATAAAAACTTCCACCCGCTAACGTGTTTGGGTTTGAATTATTAATGTTTATTACTCACCCATTGATAATATTTTGACAAGTGCAGCCAGTTGTTGGGCAGTAAGGTTACCCTCTGTAGGTATTATCATAACCATGGATACAAATAATAGACATACTGACATCTGCATGTTGATGGATTGTGTGGATTTAATACTGGTAAACTATAGTAAAATAATATCAAATATTAACCTCTAAAACAACATGGTCTATTGGGTTAAATACTGGTAAACTATAATAAAATAATATGAAATATTAACCTCTAAAACAACATGGCCTATTGTGTTACTATAGTGAACATGGTCTATAGGATTTAATACTGGTAAACTATAGTAACCATGGTATATTAATACTGCTAAACTATAGTAATCTATAGGATTTAATAGTGTTGGCTTATTGGTTTTAATACGGGTAAATTATACGTGAAAAATATATATTTTGATGTGTTGTGCAAGGCAATCCTAGTATAATCTATGCAGAAGCGACAGGTGGGATTTCGGTAGCAGAACAGAAGGTCTTGAGCATTATACGGACCGAAATGGTTTCAAATGACATGCTGATTTGTAATATGACAATCGGTTTTCGTTCAAACTTATCACACGAAACCTGCGCTTGAGGTCATACACGAAACTAGTTGACGACATTTTAATTCTAATTTTGACGAATTTAGTCGAAGACACTAAGTATACTTTTAAAAAAACTTTGAGAAATATTTATTTCGTCTCCATATTCGTGCAACAATGTTCATTTAGTTTTTGTGTGTATGCAACGGATTAGAATCGCATAATTTATCAGAACACTACAGTTATCTGTATACAAAATGAAAGTCACTGTGGAAAGAGTAATCCAAACATTCTACCAAATTAACAATAACGATCCAACGCATTTCGATTAAAGTATCTTTGAATTTCCTGCAAACTACTACATTGTGGAAGTTGAATCTCCAAAAAGAACATCAGTCCGAAAATGGTTCAATTCCGTTCAGTATTTACAAAGATATGTGTAATTGAAAAATAAAATGCATGATCAGCTACTTTACGATACATTATGTAAGATTTAGATAAAGAGTTAACCATTCTTGCTATGATAGTTCGAAAGTAGATAATGTAAAATGAATAATTTGAAAATTGCATTCAAATTATTCTATTGCGAACGAAGATATTAGCCTTTGAAGGTTTGACAAGACGTGTGCAATAATTTCAAACACCGTACTGGATGTTCGAAGCAAAGTCTCGCTCCTCCATTTTTAGATTAAATCAAAATATGGCTGAACCGTTCTAATCTATTTAATCGGAGATATGCGATGCCATCGAGAGTTAATTAAGGCCTGGATCAGTTGTTTAATGTCTAATTAATAATTTAGATAACATTTCAGACCTAAAGAAAGACCTGCCATAGGCAGATTTAGCTCTTGCATAATGTATGTTTAATTAAAATTAATTTTAAATGTTCAATTCTGACTTGTAACAAAAGTATGATAAATAATCAAACTATGCTTACCTGCTGTTTTATGTTAAACTATTACTGAACTCTGCTTAAGTTGTTAATGTTTCTTTATGTATTTTATACCTATTTATATACTCTTCCGTGTGTATATATTTTTATACTGATACAGTTTCATAGACGTCAATACATCCTCGCCTCGGGGTTCTTCTTTCTCGTCATGTATTCAACACAATATTTTAATGCTTAGTGCATATGGTTACAATCGTCATTGTTACGTAATATTTACCAAAGATATCAAAGAATATTTTGTGTAGTTAGCGAAACAAACAGTCTGTAAATGACGTGGATGTTTTGGAATAACGTTTTTGGGTGTATTTTGTTCAGCCCTGTAAAAGGTATTACTGCACGTGTGAACATGTTATTGAAAACACCCTTTCGAAGCTTGACGTTATAGTTTTTGAAATTAAGGTCATCTCAATAACAAATAAACGCGTAAGATTCAACCAAATGCACCTTTGTTTTTTGGTTGTTTTTTTTATCCAAATCAGCAGAGTCTGTGTCCAACTTACATGAACATAACTCGGCAAATAATCGATGAGCGCCGTGTTTATTGCTATAGTCGACAGGCCTGTAACTGCCCCCCCCCCCTCATAGGTATACATTGTCCGTCAATTCTACAGCACCCCTGAGAACATTCCTCGTCCCCCTCGTTGCTCTGAGCTAGTTACGGCCCTGCTAGTCGATGAATCACGGTAAATTCCATTATTTTTCCTTATGAAGAACTCGGTGATTCGAAGATGTTGGACAGACAACGGCATTCACAACAGATCAGATAGAATAGGAATGGAGTCGAACGCCACGTTAACACAATAAATTCGGTCAATTTGAAACTAAAATTCGGTTATTTGTATTTGCACGAAAGAGAAGTTTTCCCGGACAGTGGCGTTTCAGGATACTCTTCATGAAATTCCAACTATCACGGATTTCTGTACGTGTACTCAAGCGTGTACACGGTTGGGCCTCGGGGCCCTCGGTCTTTCGTCCACCCGAACAACTAGACTATATTTTTCTTGTCAGCCCCCCCCCTCCCCCGATAAGTGGGGACTGGGCTTTAAGAAAAATCCTAAAGCACCATCCCCTCACAGTCTCATATAACAACCTTTCGTCTTCAAAGGAATTATCAGTGAGCTGTTGTCACTCGTTACTTCAGTCAGTTATATATATATAACTTGTGTTATTCATGTTTTGCGTCACTTCCCGTTTCTTCAAATCTTCGTTGCGCATCTATCGTAGCAATGATCTCTGTGTTAAAATTATATTTGGAATGTGTTAAATCAGTTATATCACATATGTGATAATGGCTGACACGAACAGTGTCCTTTAACAGGACATTCTCAGTAACGTTGTGTACTCCTGATATTATTGGACTTGTCGACTGCCTTTGATAGGCATATTTGCTTATACCATCAGCTTGCTTAGAACTTATTAAATAATAGAGAATGATCGATTGTTGTCACTGGCAAATATACCGAAGTCTCTATTTTGGGTCCAATTCTGTTCAGTTTGTATACCTCAATTTCAGGGGCGACATTCCATCAAAAAGTAAAATCAAAATTTTAAAATTATCACTGTTATCTTTGGTGTACATGTACAACCTATCCTTCTTAATTTAAAAAAATATTTCATGTGTTTTGATGTATTTAAAATGTCTTCCTTTCTCACATTTCTGAATACTACAAAATTGCGTTTAAAGGAGCTAAATCGCTAATATTTGGGACCTAGAAATTGACACAAATGGGTCGCAACGCATATAATAATGTAATATGAATGTATATAAACTGATTTACATTCAATCGTTTCTATTTTTACTGTAATTTCTAATCAGTTATGTTCGGCGAAATACGGCAGAAGTCTCAAACGAATGGCATTCTGTAGCCTCTGGTTATTCCAGTCTACACCGATAGTATTTATTGCGCATGCTCTCCAGATAAGAATATGACGCCACCTTTTGACATGATTTGTGGAATATGTCTGGCCTCGTTCTTCGAGTCCCTTGTTACAAATGGCGCTGAAACGCATTATGGTACACGATTCGTATACCAATGGTAAAATGTTTATTTTGTCTTAAATATTGGATATCAGAAGCCCGTCTTTTCCCGATAAGGTCACACATCAATGTTGATTTAAATTGATAAATAATTCGTGTTTTCAATGTCGATATTGAGTTAGAGAACAAATAAACTTTAACGTCCAATCGACACAAACTAGGTCATTTCGGGACTAACATATGGTTCAATTTATTTCAGTAATTCGCTTGCGCGTATGGGTCTTTAGCAGTGGAAGGAAACCGGAGAACGCGGAGAAAACCCACGAGGATGGACAGGCCCTATACTCGGGTCTTGAGGAGATACAATCAAGGAGTTGGTCCCAGGCATCACCAAACCTCTGCACGTCCCTTTGCCTATCCAATAAACGATATTCTGAATCACCTCGAGAACCCAAAACATGAAAATCCCAGAGACTTTTGAAAACTCTAATAAAATAACGAAAAGGATACCTCTACTAGCCTCTACTAGCACACGAGAGGACTATTTTACAAAAGGACCATTACCGACTGACCACATAAATAGTGACCTGAGTAGGTAAATAACATCATCATCATCATCATCATCATCAATAATAATAAAAAAAAAGGTGCAATGGCCAGTAAGTGATATTAACCAAAATGCTGATAAATTCTCTTGAAACAATGAGCAATCAACATTTATTGATATTCAATCATGGCATGACTGGGCTCTATCGAAGATACTAACACTTAGCCCCTGCTAGCTACTAAATAAAGCATTTCTATGGTACAGTAGGTAAAAAAAAGTATTAGTCTAAAACAGATATATACTTTCATGTGCTTCGTCGATTTTCATATATCGTACGAGACAGTATGGAGAAAGTCTGTGTTCTTGTTTGAAACTGCTAAAGCACGATATACATGCAAACATGCTTATGTTAATAACTACTTTGTATGTTTCAACGGCGTATAAAATAAAAACTACCTCAAGTTCCCTGTCCAGAACGATCAACTCTTCATGGAGGTGAAACAAAGATGTGTATCCAGTCCAATGCTGTTAAATATATACATTAATAACTTGCAGCAAATGAAATTGGGTTTAACGTCCTACTGTTCTTCTCCGAACTGGGCTAACGAAGACGGGAATACGCCATACAGTGTGATATGAGGGAAATTTTTCCCGGACAGCGGCACTACGGCCTACTCTTATATCGAATTCCAACTGTCAAGGGATCTTTTACGTGCACACGGGACCTCGGTTTTTTGTCCCATCCGAACGACTAGACAGCTGTCCTTGCCAGGTCCTCCGTCCTGCATCACTGACAAGGTGGAACCACGCCGGAAAATATGGATGAAATTTCTCGGACGAAGTAATGATCGAACACCCGACCTCCAGGCTAACGAGCCAGCGTCTTACCCACTTAGCAACCGCGATCCCCATAACTTACGGCATCACGTCAATAATGAAGATGCCCCTTTAATAAATCATACTACCATCTCCCATCTTCGGTTTCGGTTGCCCTTCTTTATTATAAACAACTTCGTCATGCCGTCCAATTAGCTTGATGTTCTTGATATACTCTTTCTAGCAGCTGCCAAGCAAATTGTCCTGAGGAAACCAAACGTTCAACAACGCCAATGGGATCGAGAGGAGCATAAAATTTGGGAAAATATATGTAAATCCACCCTAGCCCAACCTGTTAAATCTAATAATATTGGTTGACTCTCCGATCTAGACGTTTTCTCTTTGCATAAATCGACCTATCGTACTATAAAAAATTGTCTACCCCCTGACATGACAGTAAAAACATTATCTGCTTCAGTTAGCCAACCTGGGGGACATTTACTAATCCAACCATCATCCATACCTTCAATGGATAACTTCTATTCATACCATGAGGTCCCATGTACATGTATAATTCAATTATGGCAATTATGTTTTTTTTTCTGTCATGTTTTTGTCTGTTTTTTTCTGTCATGTTTTTGTCTGTTTTGAATTTTTCTGTGTACTTTTGTTTATGTTGTATGCTGCCTCTTGCAGGCTTTAAAACAAAAAATCTTATCTCATCTTTATGCAAATATATATTTCATTCAAACCAAGATGGCTACGTGTTTAAAAAAAAAACAAAACTAAGTACCATTTGGAATCCTGTCTCATCGTTATGTTCATTTTTTATGTTGTATGCCAATCTGATTAAAACACAGATCCAATTTCGTTTCGTTTTTATAGTTCAAAATTTCGATTTTACTTGTCTTTACTACATGTAGTGTCGGCCATCGAAAGTATAAAAAAGGAAACGAAATATAGATCTATATTTTAATTAGATTGGTTGTATGCTGCCTCCTGTCTTGTCCTATCTTATTCTTAACACTAAGAATCTTGTCTCAATGAAATACGACAATGGGAGTGTCATGGACAGCGTCTAGTTATTCGGATGGAATATAAAACTGAGGTCCCATGTACATGTTAACCACTCAGGCTTCCCAATGTTAAAACAAATGCCCAAAACAACAACACTAGGAACTATGCGTGGGCTTTAGATCTTAAGGTCTATCACTGAGTCAAGTGGCAGGGTTTCGACCCCACACTTTGAAGAAGTACATGTTAGGTCACCTGCCTCGCCTCGTCAGACCTCGTGGGGTTTGCCCCCCCCCCCCCAGTTCACCCCGTACTAAAGATTCCTACGCGGAAGCGAATTATTGAAATAAAATTTACCATATGTTAGTTCCGTCATGGCATAGTTAGTTTTTAGTGGACGTTAAACTGCTGAACGAAGGTAACGACAACACACATTCACATTAAATGTGGGCGCGTCAAGTAATGCTTGTCTCCCTTAGTACTATACATATATATAGGTGTACGTGCCCAATGGATCTTAGTAGGGCAGACCTGAAATGCTCTACAAAAATACCTATTTACAGACCGCGGCGCCGAGATCTCGGTGCTTACCGTGTTGGGGCCTCCCCAAGAAAATTAGGAAAACTTGGCTGCCACAAACGCGTTTTCCTGTTATTCCACGAAAGTTGTCTGTTTTATTCCATCCTAACGACCGGACAGCTGTCCTCGTCAGGCCCTTGACAAGAGAATGCCGAAGATGCTTTTTTCTGTGCCATTCTTGCTCGTGAGTCAAGCAACTTCAAAGTTATCCCATAGCTTTGCAATCGAAATTCCACTCTATGCCGACCTGAATTCCAATCATTCCAATCACATAATAATCGATGCCCGTAAAAAGCCCGAAAAATGTCGCACAAAGCAGTGTGGTTCCAGACAAAATATTTTAATCCATAGTGAATTTAGTACAAACATTTCCAGGATCGGCGGTAGAGGAAGGTATCATCGGCAGCGTCTAGTTATTCGTATGGGATATAAAACTGAGGTCCCATGTACATGTTTGTGTGCATGTAAACAAAGAGTAGCCCCCCCCTCTCCCCCACCTATAGCATAATGCATATAATGTATGGCGTATGCACATCTTCATTATCCCAGTTGATACTGAATTGTAAGACATTTAACTCCATTTGACTTTTTTTCTCTTCATTATGTTTATAGATACTTTGTTTCAATTCAAATATTTGTTAGAAATTTAGCCCCAAATATTATTTGAACTAAAGGTTTACAGATGTACTAGCAGAAATACTGTTTTGAAAGAACTAATATAGCTCCTTGCCTGTTGTTCAATCCGATTCAATTTGTTGAATCAAATACAGTTTAAACTATTGTTTTACGTCCCATCCGAACGACTAGGCACTGTCCTCTCCAGTCCTATCCATCCTGTACTATTGACAAGGGGAAATCGCAATGGAGTTTTCTTGTACATATCTGTGTAAGTGTAGTCAATGTGAATATGAGAGAGGGAGAGAGAGAGAGAGAGAGAGGGGGGAGAGAGGGAGTTCGCTTGCAAGGGGTCTTTAGCAGTGGGAAGAAACCGGCAGGCGACCCTACTCCTTGTCACGTACCACTGGGGAATCGAAACCACGCCAGTTGATTCAATGAAAGGACTTTTGATACAACGCGCACGCGCTAGCCATTCGGTCACGAGACTGTTAAAAGGGTCTCGAATTTGATGTGTATATAAAGCGATGATGATGATGACTAACATGGATGACGTTTAAAGTGAAGTGTAGGCCTAACTGAGTAATTTGCATTTTCACTGATGGTTTTACTTCAATAAATAATTAGTTATAGATAAGGTTTCAGTTTAAATATGTTTATAATTTGGCCTTAAATCATATCTAAACTAGAGGTTTACAGCTGCATGTGATAGAAATATTGCGGGGTCTAATTGAAAGGGTATGTTGGCAGTGGGTTTATATTTTAGTGAAAAAGATCAGGTGTTTCAATGCGATCAATGATTTTACAATACTACTGACAGATTCTGGTCTCCATTACTTCATAACCATATTACTCAACCAATGTCAAACATATCTCCTGGCTTATCTGACTCTAGCCACCCAGCCCAGCCCATAAACACCACCCACCGACCCTCGCAGGTCCCTGGGACCCCATTAACGATATAAATATTGGGCTTGTGTGCTCACACATGGTCTTGTGCGTCATACAGCGTCAGCAGTCGCCACACACCTGAAATACTGTTATCAATTGCAGACATTTGACAGAAAGGGAGATGACTCAGTTTTTTAATCGTAAATGGATTCCAAAATTCCTTGTTCAGCCTCGGCATTTGTGTTTTGGGTATTTTTGTTTAAATCAAAATTTAACCAATACACTATTCTTTGCCAAGGATAAAGGTATCGGGTGTTTTTGCCAATATTTAATTTATGCCAACTTCAGAATTATTAGTATAACTATGGCATTTACTCGACAATTATGACGATTTTCACAGGCACTAAATCGATCGAGTTATAACAGACATTTTTCTTAAAACTTTCGGATTTGTGTTCCTGGTGTTATAAAATTTCCAAAATTGTATAGTTTGTTTAGTAGGGAGGACCTTGTAGCGGAACTGTGTTTCTAAGCCAGCTAGAAATTTTGGCTGCAGGCCTAATCGCCATTCAACACCGCCCTGACTTGATAGTACATAAGATGAATTTAATAGATTAGGGATCACTAAGTCTCTTTTGGACCCGAAAGGCACTGGCAATGACAAATTAAAACCTATGTAGAATATTGCTTCTTTATTTTGAACAGGATAAAATAACGGATACATTTAAAACCACAATAAACTCGAACAAATAATCATATATTATGTGTATATTCAATAATGGATAAAAGGATAAAATAGGAAATTCTTATAACATTGGTGATATCACACACTACGGGAAACTTTACTGAACTTGACGTGGTAATGACAAAAGACGCTCTAAAAGAGATGACAAGGTTCTCTTTTCGACGTCGGTCTCTGTGGTTGGAGGTGGAAGTGCTGCGGTGTACTTTGGTATCCATTCCAGCAGATTCTCCTTCAAATCCTCAAAGTCAGACAAAATATCATCCAAAGTGTCAGCAGCATTCGATAGTTGATCCTGAAAAAAAAATTTAATACAATGATAGTTTTTAAAGATTGCATAGACGTAACTATTCAGTCTTTTTAAATATTTTTAATCATAAATGAACCTAGTTTGTGTGGAGTGGACTTTAACTTCCATTTCTCTATCTATTCAAAATTACACCAACATTTCGTTTTATTCTTCGGTTGTTTTCTTTACGCCATCTTGAATGGTTCGATCATTCCAGTTTCAGCCTTAAAATCAATAGCACCTGTAAGACACGCTACCAGCGTCTTACTCTCTTAGCCACCTCGGCTCGCCAATGTTAAAACAAACCCCAAAACGCCCGAAAAATTTCCTTTATAAAGCGAGCGCCGAAATACAGCAACTTCAATGTAGTCCAATATAGCCTAACGTAGCTGGCTGACCCGAATTCCAAACAATCAACCAGAACGCGAATACAGCAACTTCAATGTAGTCCAATATAACCTAACGTAGCTGGCTGACCCGAATTCCAAACAATCAACCAGTCTTTTAGCTTCGCCGGTCGTCGCGGGGTACGGGGAAATCGCCCTCTCAGAGAAAAATTTGAAAATTTAACCACCGCAGTGTTCTACTATTCTAGCCCGTGAGTCAAGCAACTTCAAAGTTGCCCCATGGTTTTGCAACTGAAATCCCACCCGACCTGAATTCCAAATCATCAACTGAGAATGTTGGAGCTGCATTCACAAATAATAACCAATGCCCGAAAATGTACAAAGCAGAGTGGTTGCACACAAAATATTTTAATCCATAGCCAATTCAGTACAAATTCGTGGTATTCAATGAAAAAACCCCCCCAAAACTACAATTCGTGTTTTATTAGATTCCGGGCACATTATTTTGCCAAGCAGGGTGGCCCCAGACATTTTGTTAATCCATAGTCAATTTAGTAGAATTTCGTGGTATTCAATTAACAGAAAAGTAAAATCAGTGTTTTATTAGACTTCGGGCAAAGATTATATCATAATTTTTATCCCACTTTACCTGTCTACCCAAAAAGTCACATTGCCCAAAATCAAATTGAGAAATCGTAGTTATTGCCTACTAATGTTTGTTATTAAAAAAAGATATATTACCGCTTTTGTTTCCAGTGCTTCAGCTCGATTCTTGAGTAGATTTTCTTGTGCCTTATTATCTGTTTCACCTGCCAACTCGTCTAAAAGTTCGGCTTCAGTCTGTGCAGCCGTTGCCTCAGATGTTATTCTTGTCTTTTCAATTTGAATCGTATCAGCAAAATCTTGGCCTTTTTCTGTTAACTTATTTAAAAGTTCTGTGGCAGCTGATTTGTCCATGGTTTCGCCTGTAGGTGAATCTGTGAATATATAAATAGGTAATTCAGTTTGAATGTGCATGTGATGTTTCAAGAGCACTGCCAATATAACGGAAAACCGTTAGGGTCAATCAAGTCAGAAAAAAAATGCTTCGATGATTACGAGATAGTCAAATTATGGTCTGGATAAGTTAATCAATGTCTAATTAATAATTTAGATAACATTCAAGGCCTAAAGAAAAACCTGCAATAGGCCTGAAATGTTATCTAAATTATTAATTAGACATTAATCAACTTATCCAGACCATAATGAACTCTCGATGCCATCGCTAGCCTATGATATTTAGCGGACTGGAATAGATATTTTGAAAAATAATTAAACGTAAAAATGGATAATCGTGACTTTGTTTTTATCGTACCGACTTTAGTAATGATGATAGAGACTAGCCTAAAATTCAAAAGCTAATATCTTGGGCCAGAGTGGAGCAATTCGACTGAAATTTTCTGAATATTCTATTTACGTTATCTACTTTTTTAACTATTATAGCGTATTATGTCAATTCTTTATCTAATTTCCAATAATTCCCCTTTAAGTTTTTTTAAATTTGAAGTTATCATTGTTAATGTCGATGTACAAACTGCCTTACTTAAAGTTACAATTTCATATTTTTAAGTTATTTTAAAAATAAAGCCGTAAAATAGATGGTATCTATAAACAGTGCTACCTTGTTAAAGAATAATCCTATTAATCCTATAATTCACTATTGCCAGTTGAGAAATTGGCAAAAATATCATTTTCAACTTCAAATTCAAACGTTTCAAGATAGCTATTCCATGGGGGGAATAGGAAAACAAGGGAGATAATTGTGTTATTATTGCCTGTGTCAATGATTTTTAAGTGTGGGAAATAATGCCCATGATCGTATAACAGTGAGTTGATAACCTATTGAGCAAAAGACATAGAAATAATTATGTTTTGACTTTCTTAGAAAATATGAAATTCTCGCTTTAACTTGAATAAAAAGTTGTTTTTTTTATACAACTTTAAAATGTTTTCTTCTATTCTAATATGTGCGAGTATTAGGCCCTATACTTGAGTCAAAGGCATCGCCAAAAGTAGGTGTAATGAGATATACTGTGACATTTTACTGTCCTTAACGCCCAGTACCGCTTCCCAAAATACGTTGAAACAGAAATAAAAAAAAATCTCTTACCGCCAGTACTTTCAGTTGATGGTAGTGCTGCCTTAAGCTTATTCATTGATTCTGTTAATTCAGTGAGAAATTCTTCAATTTCCGGTACAGTATCTTCCAACACGTCCACAGCAGCAGCTAATCCGGTCTGAATAATATAAAAATATATAGGAATTTTTAATGTTGAAAAGAATTGAGGAAATTGGGTTTAATATCCTACTTTTCTGCCACAATCAGACCAATGAAGACGGGTTTACCTCATGCAGTGTGCTACTGGGGGAAATATTTGGCCGACTAGCAATTAAAAAATTCCAACGGTCTAGGGTTTACGTACACAGCAGGGTTTACTCAAGATCCCCCGAATCCTAACCCTAAGGCTTGTACCTTGCCAGGCCCTCCATAATGCACCACTGACAAGTGGGAGATCACACAGGGAAATCCTCGGGAACTTACTCTCAAACCACGGACCTCCTGGTTATTGACCAACTGGCTTAATCACGGATCCACCGTGACTCCGAATTGCCTTAATGATGATCCACCGTGGCCCCGAATTGCCTTAATCAATGATCCTCCGAATTGTTAATGTTATAGGCTGTAATGGAAGAAGCCAATTAATGCCTGGGCTGATGCTACATCTTTAGTAACGATCACGGAGCTTTCAGTAATGGAAGACACCTTATGTCTGAATGCCAGAATCCGTAGAGCAGCTTGAGGTTATCTGAATTGTAACCCTTTTCCAGGGCACGTATATTGCAGATAATAAGAGTGGTGGACCGATTGAAAAAGCCAAACACATTAATAAAAGCTACAGTAGAAATATAGAAAATGAAATGATGCGCATTACTTCGGTTAAAGCAAAATATTTAACTTGACAGTTTCTGGCTTAAGGATAGTTTCGGTACTAAGATATAGTATTCATTTTAAAATCATTATGGAGTTTGTTGATGACAAACCGTTTCCAGAGTATTACTAACGCGAAGTCATATTGAAGTCCGAAGTGAAGTCCAAAGTGAAATACAAAATATTGAAGCGCTGCTTTGACAAAGAATAGTCCTACACAGTTCCTGTTGTCTGCTGCGACTCACGATAGTGTCACATCTCATTATTTGGTCACACGAGACATGATAGTGTCCCACAGTGACACCTTAATGCCATATCTACTATTTAGTGCCGTGTTGCAGGATAGATAACGCCGTGGTGCCATATTCGTTATTTGGAGCCGTCATATATGACGATAATATCAAGTATATTTTTGTTGTTGTTGACTGTAACCTGGATAGTCTTTCATCTTGGATAGTGTGACACCATTATATTCTAGCCTACCTGTGTCATTGCTTGGATTCTTAGATTGGCCAACTCTGCTTGGAGGCTGGTAAGTTTCTCGGCTCCCAATGTAGAGAAACTGTTTAAAATTGATGTTGCTAATGATTCTGATGGAGCGGGAATGTTGTTCCTGGCCGCCAGGGTGTTGCTGGAAGCCGCAGGAGTGCCAGTAGATGGCAGGTCTTCCGCAAGCTTCTGTTTATTTTCCGTTAATTCATCGAAATAACTCTCAAGTTCCGGTACAATATCCTCCAAAATGTCAAGGGCAGGTTTTAGTGAAATCTGGATAATGTAAAAATATACCGTTAATGTAGACTAATCCTGTAATGGAAGAATCCTTTTAATGTTTTGAATGGAATTAGATTTTTGGGGGGTAACGGCCTGCCACAAACGTCAATGAACTATCGAGTCTATGTTTAATAAACATGTTTGGAATACAACTTATGTTTGGATGTCAGAATCAGTTTACCCGGACCCGTATCCTTATTCAGAGCACGTTTAATACATGAGCTAATAATTCTTTTATTTTGCCCAACTTATTAATAAAAGCTACACTATCAATAAAGAAAATGACATAATTGTTATATAACTTCCGCTATAACATATTTAACTTGCAAATTGACAGCCACCAATCACAAATAGACCCGTTGATAATTATTAGTTGTATATGAGTTATGATTAGCTGTATATTTAGTTATGATAATTATTAGCTGTATATCAGTTATTATAATTATTAGTTGTGTATATGTCATGATAATTATAAGTTGTATATTAGTTATAATAACCATTAGTTGTATTTTAGTTATGATAATTATTTATTGTAATAACTATTAATTATAATAACTATTAGTTGTATTTTAGTTATAATAATTATGAGTTGTATTTTAGTTATAATAATTATTAGTCTTCTATTAATTATAGTAACTATTAGTTGTATATTAGTTATGGACAAATATATTTTCTTTTAAGAACAATGTTTTAGCCGGACGTTTTCCTGTCAAGAAACATTAATTAAATATTTTCCATTTTGATGATTATGAGTTGTATAATAGTTAAGGGCACACAAATGTATTGTCTTATAAAACAAGGTTTGACCGGTTGTAGTGATAGGTCGCGTCAGAGGTCACACGGGTGGCTTTTGACCTATGACGTCAGACATTTGATTAACCAATCAGCATTGATGTTTCTAGTGGATTACCCGCAGTTCAGTGCACAACACGCCAAAAGCTTGCTGTAACAGATCGTTTCATTGCCTAAACCCTCACATCATCCAGAACGCGTCAATGATAACAACTCTTCCAGATCCTAATGTAGTAAAGACAAGTAAAAGGAAATTTTGAACTATAAAAAAACGAAACGAAATAGGGTCTGTGTTTTAATCAGACTGATGTTTTAGCCAGTCGTTTTACAGATAGATACCCATTTAACAGTGATGGCGTCCAAAAGCGTGAACAAGATTAAACTGGCGTGCACATCTAAGTACTCGAAGGAGGGTAGGCACAACCACCGTTGCACACTTACTCGCCCCCACCCCCACCCCATACGTTTTTCACACCTATTGTAAATCATTATACTTTAATACAAGTACTAAACTTTTGATTAGCCTACTGTATTATGTCGAGTAAAGTGTTAGCGTTTTATTCTATTATGCCTACCTGTGTCATTGCCTGGGTTATTAACGTGCTCAACTCCCTATTAAGTTTGGTAACTATATCATTTCCCTCTGTCGCGAAAATGGTTATGGCTGATATTGCTTCTGGTTCGTTTGAAGCCGGGGCTGGTAGTTCGCTTGGAACCGGTGGTACTGGATCGACTGGCATCGGGACTACTGGTTCGGCTGGCATTTGGGGTGCTGGTGGTTCGGCTGGTGCAGGATCTGGGGAAGACGAAAAACCATTTGAATTATATAACTGGCTGTGAAATACCATTCCGAAATATATCTAACACTTTATAGCGTAGGTCGACGCCGCCGTATTTCGAAAGTTATATTTGAAGTCAACTTTGAAATCTTTTTGATTAAAATGAACATGTTCTCGAAACAAGGGTTAAAGCTTGCGGACTAAACTTGGTTTTCGTTTTTGTTTGTTGCATTTCTAAACCCAGTACATTTTGTAACGTAAATTTTCATTAGCTACCACACCGAATCTTCAGCCAATCAGCAATTGGCTCATTTATGCACGGTTTCAAGTAATTTTCATTTACCCTTGTATTCGGACGATGCATGTACCTGCAGGAAAAAATTGCACGTTTGGTCCAACTGGTCGTAGTTGATATATTATGTAAAACATTACGCCGACTGATTTATCTTCAAGAGTTACCACAAATAATGGAACCTATTAAAATAAATATTGAATTGATTTGCTCAGAAAATCGGACATCTCACGGCTTACATGGTGGTTTTTGTTTGTTGCTGAAAAATTCAATGTGTAACGCGCCAAACTAGGTACTGCGTTAAACCGCTCTTTCATTGGCTAAGAGCTAATATTTGTACTAGGATTTCTACCCTCAACCAATGAATTGGTTGTATCCTTAAAATATTTTAGTTTAAGTTTGCGTGAATAAGGCCCCTGGGCTCACTTGACGAGTTAACGTAGTGGTGGATGAAGATACATATATTAATATTTTGTACTCACCCTTTAACTGACTGAGAAGTGCAATCAGTTGTTCGATTGTATAACCCTCTATTGGCATTATCACAGCCATGGATACAAGTACTAGACATACTAACATCTGCATGTTGATGGATTGCGTGGATTTAATACTGGTAAACTACAGTAAAATAATATCAAATATTAACCTCTAAAAAACATGACCTATTGGGTTTAAAAATGATAAACTATAGTAAAATAATATCAAATATTAACCTCTAAAACAACATGGCCTATTTTTTTTACTATAGTATAATAATATAAAATAATGCCCCCTAAGACAACGGCACCAGTCACCATTTATAGCTAATTGGCGTCTCAGGTTTAGCGTCCTACTTCATCGCACCAACCGGGCTATTAAAGACACTATTCGGGCAGTGTTGCCCGGACAGTGTTTTCTTTTCGCCTACTCTTCATCGAATTCCAACTGTCTACGGTTCTTCTACGTGCACGTCAACAAGTACAAAGTGGACCTCTGTTTTGAGACTGATCCGATGGACTAGACACATTTCCTTGCCAGACAGTCCGCCCTGTACCAGTAACTTGAGGAAACCAAGCTATGAAATCCCAAGGAACTTTACTAGGCTTACAACGGGATCGAACCCGCGACGCCCTAACTTAGATAACAAAACAGAGGTCGTCATGGGGAAGGACCTGGGGATGTTACAACTTACCATTACGGCCCGGGCGATCTTATTTTATATTTTTATTTTTGTGTTATGCCCTCCGTTCTGAACAACTGAACACGCCGGAAAATCATGGGGAACTTTCTGGACCAACACCGGGAGCAAACCCGAGACCACTCAGTTAGCGAGACAGAACCTTACTCACTGATCCACCGCAGCTCCCCTTTCGAAAGATAAAACTTCAGGTTTGGTGGGTTCCTGGGAGCCGCAGTGACGCAGTCGGTAAGGCGTTGGCGCGCTAACCCAGAAATCTCGGGTTCGCTCCCAGTGTTGGACCAGAAAGTTCATCTGGATTTTCCGACGTGGTTTCCACTTGTCAGTGGTGCAAGACTAAAGGCCTGACAAGGGACAACGTATAGTCGTTCGGATGAGAGGTCCTGTGTACACATTGACATGCACGTGAAAAAAAAACATTGGCAGTTGGAATTTGATATAAGAGTAGTCCATAACACAACTGTCCGGGCAAAATGTCCCCCATAGCCCGTCTTCATTAGTCCGGTCGGAGCAGAACAGCAGGGCGTAACCCCACATTTCCTGTTACAGCGGAACAAAATGGTGCAGCTTTCCGGTTTTGCTAATATTTATACAGAAACTTTTATATTTTTGTTGGTCCTTTCTTGTGATAGAAGATAATTAATTTGACATCAGAAAGAAACAAAACCAAATCACAGGGGCGTGTCCAGGAATTTGTGCAGGTGCCGGGCCGAATTGGGGGGGGGGGGGGCAGTGTCGTGTTTGGTGTGAGGTCTGGGTGATTTCTCAAGAATTTTATAAAATCAGAAGCTCGGAGACAATATTTCTGCTCATCGAGGACCATACATGTATAGGATAAGAGTGGAGTGAGACCCGGACCCGCACCTGCCAATGTAGGCATAGGTTTGCGTAGAGATCAACCATTTTAATAATGTAAAAAAAAGTCCGAATATCAGCTCTTTTTGGATCTAATATCAGAATAAATGTTCAATAGCAGCCACAAGGACAGCTGTCTAGTCGTTCGGGTGGGGCGGAAAACGGAGGTCCCGTGTACACATTGGCGCGCACGTAAAAGATCCCTTGACAGTTGGAATTCGATCTAAGAGTAGGCCGTAGTGCCGCTGCCCGGGCAAAATTTCCCTCATAGCACACTGTATGGCGTATGCCCGTCTTCGTTAGCCCAGTTCGGAGCAAAACAGTAGGACGTTAAACCCCATTTCATTTCATTTAATTTCAATAACAGTCGTGTTCCGTTGCTAGATAATTTCCATTAATTGATTAATTTTAAATGTTCAGTTCTGCCTTTTTACAAACAAAAATAATCAAAAATTGCTTACCTGCTGTTTAATATTAAACTGTTACTTAACTCTACTTAAGTTGTTAATGCTCTGTCTAACCTTGCTTATGATGTTACTGTTTCTATATAATGTATTTTACACATATTTATATATAGCGGACAGTTTCATAGACGTCAATAACTTCTCGCCTCAGGGTTCTTCCGTATTATCATATTTACTCATCAAAATATTTTAATATTGTTAATATCGTCATTGTTACGTATTATTAGCAAAAAAAAAAAAAAATCCCCAAAGAATATTTTATGCAGTTTTAATGAAAACAATGAATATAAATGACATTATTTGTCATTGCTTTCATTAAAATGTTTTGAAAAAAAAAATTGGGGGATTTATTTTCTTTAGGTCCGGAATGTTACTGCCGCTTTGAACGTGGCGTGAAGTGTCCAATTTAAACAAAGTGCTTGGCGTGATATATTTTGCAATTCATGTCAACTCAAATAGCAAAACATCACATAAAATTTAGAAAAATGCGCAACATTTATTGTTGTCCCAAATCAACAATGTCCAATTTTTTCAACCGAAATCCGCACCTAAAAACGATAAATTTTACATGGTTACGTGTTCATGACTAGTCGTACAAGTTACAGAAGGTTTCTTATTATAAACTCTGAAATGTAGAGTGACTTCAAGATATTGGACAGTTAGCACTGATTGGACCAAAAGATATGATAAGCATTTAATTTAACGTCTAGGTGCGTCACTATCAAAAATATTGTTGTTCTTTAAGACAACCAGCGGCTGCCAGGCAGGATACGCCCACATTTTCGAGAGATGGATAGAAAACAAGCTAACTAGAAAATGATTTTTCCTACAATCAAGGGCCATAATTCAGGAAATTACAATTCGATATGCGCAAATATCGAAAGGAACCAAGATCTTTGAGTTATAAACTTACATTTCAAGTTTCAACAAAATCGGATAAAAATTGTGACCTCTATAGGGTCTACAACCTTGATATACCATATTTTTACGCAATTTGAGAATGAGGGGCGGCCATTTTGTCTGTCAGTTTTGGGCAGATTTTCACGAAATTCGAACTCAGTCGTCCTTAGGGTGTAACGGTGATATAATACGTTTTTTTAAAATCGGATAAAAATTATGACCTCTATAGGGTCCACAAGCTAAAAACGTGATTTTTCGTACAATCAGGGGCCATAATTCAGTAAGTTACGGTCCGATATGCGCGAATATCGAAAGGAACCAAGATCTTTGGGTTATAAACTTACATTTCAAGTTTCAACAGAATCGGATAAAAATTGTGACCTCTATAGGGTCCACAACCTTGATATACCATATTTTTACGCAATTTGAGAATGAGGGGCGGCCATTTTGTCTGTCAGTTTTGGGCAGATTTTCACGAAATTCGAACTCAGTCGTCCTTAGGGTGTAACGGTGATATAATAATATGATTTTTTAAATCGGATAATAATTATGACCTCTATAGGGTCCACAAGCTAAAAACGTGATTTTTCGTAAAATCAGGGGCCATAATTCAGGAAGTTACGGTCCGATATGCGCGAATATCGAAAGGAACCGAGATCTTTGTGTTATAAACTTACATTTCAAGTTTCAACAAAATCGGATACAAATTGTGACCTCTATAGGGTCCACAACCTTGATATACCATATTTTTACGCTATTTGAGAACGAACGGCGGCCATTTTGTCTGTCAGTTTTGGGTTGATTTTCACGAAATTCGAACTCAACCGTCCTTAGGGTTTAACGGTGATATAATAATACGGTTTTTTAAATCGGATAAAAATTATAACCTCTATAGGGTCCACAAGCCAAAAAACGTGTTTTTACGTACAATCAGGGGCCATAATTCAGGAAGTTACGGTCCGATATGCGCGAATATCGAAAGGAACCGAGATCTTTGGGTTATAAACTCACATTTCAAGTTTCAACAAAATCGGATAAAAATTGTGACCTCTACAGTGTTCACAAGCCAAAAACGTGATTTTTCGTACAATCAGGGGCCATAATCCATGAAGTTACGGTCCGATAGATGCCAATATCGAAAGGAACCGAGATCTTAGGGTGATAAACCTATATTTCAAGTTTCATTGAAATCGGATAAAAATTGTGACCTGTAGACTGTTCACAAACAATTGGTTTGCTTGTACAAATGATTGACCGCCCCCCCCCCCCCCCCCAAAAAAAAAAAAAAACAACAAAAAAACAAAAAAACAAAAAAAAAACAAAAAAAAAAACAAAAACAAAAACAACAAAACAAACCAACATAACAAAACAAATAAATATATTTTTTTTAATATATAACTCGTATTATCTGAGAAGGCAGAGTGGAGAATTTACAATATATTATGTTTACGATATATCATATTTAAATTTTATTCTATTTACTGTATTTTCTATTTATAATATACTCTTCAAAAAAAGTAGGAGATATTGAAATGCAAATACCTATACAGGATGTGATATGATAAATAGTCATGGCACTTGACATGGTACTTGACATGGTTTGAGAGTATGTTCACAGATGAAGAACTTATCGCCCCAACAGAACCACTGAGCCGCACATGCGACACGCAATAGCGCCATATACTTCAAAGAAGGGTTGATGAAAGCTGCTGCGTGCTGGTTTATCTATCCATGTTAGCATTCCAATCGATTCTTGCATAAGATTTACTGTTTAGCGTATCTTTGCTTTAGTGTGTTACGTTTATTTTCATCGGGAGACGTCAACCGACAACACTGCTAGAATTGGCCGTGGCACTGCAAGAGGAGTGGGTCAGATTGTCCCAAATCGTGATTGGATGGTTGATTAGGAGCATGCCACGACGAATTGCTGAATGTTTGAGGATTGGTGGAGCAATTACTCATTATTAAGACAGAAATCAAAAACTTCCATTTTCACTTTTGACGGTGTATATCTTTCCGAGTGAAATGGGGCCGTCAGATAAGCCGCCCATATGAACTGTTTATGTCCATGTGTAGGCAATTAGCCTGTTATTAACATACACTGGTTACCTCTAATAAAAACAGCAGTGCATTTCCGCAGTTTTGTATTGTTTCTGAATATCCCCTACTTTTTTTGAAGAGTATATATTGTATTTACAATCTACTATATTTACAATATATTTTATTTAACGTCTGCTCAACACACACTAGGTCATTTTTGGGAGTAACACATGGGAAATTTTACTTCAATAATTCAATAATTACGTCAAAGACAATATAAACTCAGGATGGATGTTACCAAATGATTTGGTTTTTTTTAATCCGTCGATATAACTTCTTTCAGAGAGAGAGAGAGAGAGAGAGAAATGGGGTTTAACGTCCACTTGACACAAACTAGGTCATTTCGGGACTAACATATGGTTCAATTTTATTTCCATAATTCGCTTTCGCGTAGGGGTCTTTAGCAGTGGGAGAAAACCCACGAGGTTGGGCAGGCGACCCTACTCCTTGTCACGTACAACCGGGGATTCGAAACCACGCCAGTTGACTCAATTACAGGCTTAATGATACAGCGCGCACGTGCTAACCACTTAGCCATCCAACCCCCCAACTTCTTTCAGGGGCTTGGTGGTGGCCATTTAGGGTTGACTACGACCGCGACATTGTGGTGCAAATATACACCTCGATTATTGCGCAAAAATCACCCTTAACATGGACTTACATTTGAAATACATGCCCCATTTTGATTATCGATACCGAAACGGAAACCAGAAGGCGAAAGCTTTTTTTTCTGTTATTTGTAAAAAAGTTGAACTTCAAGCATTTTGGAATGATTGGGCGGAATGGTAAGCAGTGGGGAGTTGACCATTATACAGAAGCATGTGTTCAAAAACGTCAGTTACATTTTACAGAGAGTCCCAATCAAAAAACTTATTGGTATTAAAAAAATTTTAGTATGAAGAATTTTGTTTTGCTTTGCAACAAAAATTCAATTTTGATTTCTGGAACAGAAATGATAGCAAAAGTGGCGGAAATTTCACTGTGGCAGTGCTACTCGCGTATTCATTATCACCTTGCCCCTGCCTTCTATGGAAGAGGTTTATCGCGGGGTTTTGCGCCCGATTCCTAGAAAATTCTTAAGCACGTTCTTGTGCTTAGATTTAAGTAGACTTTGCATTTAAGTAAACTTTCCTTATTTTGTGTTCCCAGAAAATTCTTAAGAACGTTCTTGTGCTTAGATTTTAAGTAGACTTTATCGTAAGCACAAGAACGTTATTATGCGTTCCAAGAAAAAACTTAAGCACGACTTCGTTCTTGAACATAGTCAATCTAAGCACAAGTCCCAAGCAAGGTATACGGCTTGCTTACCAACCTTAAGTCTGTTTCTGCTTCAAAAAGATGGCTGACCGTAGAGTTATTCGACGGCATTTCCGACACCTTTTGATACCAAAGAGACAATTACAAGACAGAGAGAAATCCTTCTCGAGAAGAAATTTCAAATTAAGAATGTTATAGAAAATTTCGCTTCTAGGCCTACCCTGAAACCATTTTATTTATTTGCCAATTAGTAAACAATAGGCTACAAACACACAGGCTACTTTAAGATCAGGCACTCTCACAATTATTCAGTTAGTTTGTATGTGTCTGCGTTTTTTATCTTGTGGCACATTTTATATGTGTATAGGAGACATGTCAAATGCATCTAAATCAACCATATATATATATATATATATATGATGTCAATGAAGCAGACGACAAATTTATGACGTAATTCGCATACCAAAGTTATTTTTATGACGTTAAAGAGCATCATAGTCTCAGTTTATGGTAAACTCTACCAGTCACAATGTGCTTAGACTTATACTTGACTTGTGCTTTCGTAAGAATGGTCTTGAGAATTTTCTAGGGACGGTATTTGTATAAGTTTCTTACGTAAGAAAAAGTGAAGCATGACTTTGTGCTTACTTTAAGAATTTTCTAGGAACCGGGCCCTGGTGAATATGAGTTGACTCGTGCAGGGGAGTGTGGGGAAGCTTTGGTAAGAGTGTAGTGGGACGCAGAGGGGTTAATGTTCCCAAATGTGTACACAGATAAAAGAGAGAGAGAGAGAGAGGAGAG